GCTGGCTTCCCCCACCAGCAAAGGTGCAGACCTGAAGGTCAAATATGATACATTTACTAGGGTACGTAATGTGTAGTTTACCCTGTTATTATATTCTTACCGAAGAAAGAAAGCAACAGGTTGAACTGGATTACCACATGGTCTTTAAAGCTTTTTGTCTTTCAGCTTGTAATTCCCCCTCCTTCCCTGTGACCTTATTCCAGTTCACATGCCATTAGATTTAGGATAGGATAGCAGGAAAATGTATAGGGCTGAGGGGGGAGGGGATTAGAAGACATTGACCAAGCAGTCAAGGGCTGCATGAAGCCTGGCAAAAGTCATTGCAGTTTCCCAGTTGTCTTTAACAATAAAGAACTAAAAGTGACACTTCATTGATAGTAGTTTCAAACTCAGAAAGAGCAATTTAGAGATCATTTAGTTAGACAAAATATTTGACAAACTCTTTGTCAAATATTTTGGTTTGGCTACTTTAATCCCTGAGAACAAAACAAAAAACATCCTTATATAATTCAAGGGATTGCATGGATTAAAAAGAATTCTGAAGATCTAATTGGTAATTGCAACCATTGTGGTATAAGGACAACTTATGTAAGAAGGGCGCCACAGTTGGTGCCAATATCTAGTTGTCATTGGCTGATCTCAGAGAAGCTAAACAGGATCAATCTGGTTAATACTTGGACAGTAATAGAGGACAGCCTTGAGATTGTCTGGTCTAGAGTGACAAGAGTCCCAACAGTGGCAATGGAAAAAAAATCCACACTGCCCGCAAAAACAACGTGAAAGCAGTCACCAAGAGTTTCTGCAAGAATATATTCCCATAAGCAATAAGTGTTTATTGCTTATGGGCACTCATAAAACTTAAGGGAATAATTTCCAGAGTATGATCTTCCACTCCATGTGGCAACCAGACAACCCACAGATTTTCATTTAGTAACAGGTTTTCTTCTCTTTGCCAACAATTCTAAATTCTAAACAGAGTTCTATTGCCATGACCTACAGATTAGTTCTCTTTTGTGCTTGGAGTTTTCTGGAATCTTTGTTCATACTGGATGAACAGCCATAGAAACTGTTCTTTGATTGAAAAATGTAATATTTAGGAAGATCTCTTTGCATGCCGATTGTGAGAGACAGTAAATAATGCTAATATTTGGAGAGGTTAAATTGGACATTTGCAAAGTACAAATAAGGTTTAGCAAAACATTAAAATGAACTGTGGTAGAGTCCTAGCAAATAAGGGAATGAAACCTTGATTTCTTCTATACCATAATCTTCTGATCAACATGTTCAATAGGTACCCATAATAACAAGAGATGGATAATAATGGCCAAGTAGATCTGTTGAAATATAATTTCTAACAGCTTTAGCCAGGATAGCCAGTAAAAGGTAATAGAATCACTATCGCTACCACATAAAAAGGCAATCTGTTCTACCTAATGTGTTGGACCACATATGAAAATTCCTAGCCATCATAGCTATCCATTTATCATCTGTCTTGTCTGTTTGCCTACCTCCTTCCAGGTGCAGAGTTTCTTTGAGCAACATTATAATCTGCTTAACCTAAATAGAAAAAAAAAATCAAGGTCATCACCAGGAGACAATATAGTTGGCTTTGCCCTTATTATGAAAGTATTTAATTTCAGGTAATGTAGAACCTTATTATTCAGATATGCAGATTTCAACCATTCTCCTCCTCAGCATATATATGGCTTTGGCCATGTTAGCCAGGTGCTCTGGGAATTGAAGTCTCCCACGTTTGGAAGGCACCATATTAGTGAAAACTGCCTTAAAATAAGCATGATGTCACTAAAAGCTTATTATATGGATTTTATTTTATTAATTTAAAAGATTTGTGTGGCCACTTATCTTAGAGCACAACTTTGGGTGCTTCATAACAACATTCATAAGGCAGAAGTAGTTTTAACTTTGGACTACATATTCAAGTCTAGTGTTGCCACTCTGTTGCTCAGACTCTTTATATAAAGACTACTAGCAGTTGGATCCCCCTTTAGAACAGGCCTCCCCTCTTAAGCATTTTAAATACAGCTAGTACATGTCTGCCATGGATCTAAATTCATTCAAAAATATGCATATTCTGAAATGGTATCTTCATTGGATCAAATCCAAGGTTTATCTGACCTACTGTCCATATTAGTACTCAGAAAAGGATCAACTTGCATCTGTATCCCAGATGGATGCTGTTGGCCTGAGATTGTAAAAAGGGTCTGTGTCTCAGGCAGTCTTCTCTCAGTTGGGGGAATTTTATCTGGCTGGGAATTTTGGGAGGGCAGAATTCACATCTGGATGGTTGAGAAGAGCTGATCTCAGCCAAAGTGATGCCAGCAAATGAGCTGATGCTGTTACCACATTGTTCTACTTAAAATTTCTCTGAATTCGACTTCACTGTTTGAAATGGCAGTGTAAGGGAAGCTTCCAGATTATTTAAGAATTCTCAATGGTGGCATTACTTTGATTGGCTTTACTTTTTAAATCTTTTGTGTGTTAACATGAAGCCATTGAGGAAAAAAATTGCACCCACAAATGATTGAGACTTAATTTTGAAGTCCTTTGGAAGGGTAGTAACATCTACTAAAATTATTTACATGCCGACTGTGACAGAATCAGCAGGCTCCAGGACTAATCAGTAAAGCACTGCCATCTTGTGGGACTTGAGAAATTGGATTTCTCTATGTTTGTTCTTATACTCTAGAGTAGTATTCCCAAATCCACACAATCCACATGTGTGTTCAACAGGCTGGTTTGTGACCTACTTTATAATCTATGTTTTATACGGGGTTGGTTCCCTGACAATGGGTCTTAGTAATCTTAGTGTTACCCATTCAAATTGCTTTTCTTGTTATTTTAGTATTAATGATTTGTAATTTGTAAGCTATCTAGAAATTAGTCGGTGGTTAAGTCATCAGGTTAGGAGCCCATGAGTTCTAATCCCATATTAAGTACAAAGCCAGCTGGGTGACCTTGGACCAGTCCTTATCTCTTAGCCCCAAGAAGGAGGCGATGGCAAACCCCTTTTGAAAAACCTTGCGAAAAAACCTGGAGGGACTTGTTTAGGCAGTCACCAGGAGTGAAAATTGACCCAAAGGCACAAAGCAAAAAGCTATCTGGAGTTGCAGTTGTGATTGAGGAAGCCTATAAATCATTTAAATAAATAAATAAATTATAAATGTAATTTTGTACCAAAACATGTTCCATTCAATTGCATGCATGCATTTGAACTTGTAAACAAGTTTCAGGGAGACATAAAATAGGAGCATATTACATGCACAATATTTGGATATATCCCTTGAACTTTTCAGCACTCATGAAAAAGTATTGTCAAAGCATTGTTATTTTTTTATGCAGAACAAATTTTAAAACAGGCAAATGAAGGAGCTGTTTTCTATAGATATGATAATTGTTTACATGCAAAGCTATTATGTAGCTGCCTTGTGAGATGCTGAGAACTCCTCTGAGTAATAGTTTTTTAGCTGCCATTGATGTATACTAGAGCTGTTCTTCCCAACTACCACTAAAACCACCCTTTCAGGAAGACAGGGAACCACTCTAAAACAGTATCCCTCTGGTCCTGTCTCAGACAGTCCAGGAGGACTGTATAGTTGCCTCCCAGCTTGAATTCTCCATATGGGATTTGGAAACCACTTGGAAGTTTCAACTGGTCCAGAATATAATGGCATGAACAGTAATGGGCATTGAGTGTGTCATCTATATACAGGTAACCCTTGACTTACAACCATAACTGAGCCCAAAATTTCTTTTATTAGATAAAATATTTGTTAAGTGAGTTTTGCCCCATTTTACAAACTTCCTTGACACAGATGTTAAGTGAATCATTGCAGTTGCTAAATTAGCAATATGGCTGATAAGTGAATCTGGTTTCCCCATTGACTTGGCTTATCAGAAGGTCAAGTGATCACATGACCCCAAGATACTGCAACCGTCCTGTCAAATGCAGAGTGTCCAAATTGTGATCATGTGACCACAGGGATGCTGCAACAGTTTTAACTATGAAAAATGGTCATAAGTCACTTTTTCATTGTCATTGTAACTTTGAACAGTCAAGGACTACAACAGTTTGAATGTTGTATTTATATTTGTACTGTATTTGACATTTGTATTGGTTGCCAATATGCTTCCAGGTGCAATCAAAGTGCGGGTGCAATCCATAGCATAGATTTTGGATATTTTGAGGAACCATCTATCTCCCATGGTTTCTGCTTGGCCAGAAACAATGCCCTCTATTGAGACCTAGGAAGTATCCCTTCTCTTTTGTGGTTCTTGCTCTCTAAAGAAGAATCTCAATGAAATCAGTGTGACTCCCTCCCCGTTGGAGTTCTGGAAGGCCTTGAAGACCCAATTATTCTTCCAGTAGTTAGGTTAAGATGAATGGAACCCCTTGTTGGATGTATTTTGGTCTATGGTTTTCTGCACATCCTATCTTATTTTGTATTGTTTTGTGTTTTATTGTTTATTATGAGTAATGAGGAGTTAGGCAGTACCTAAATTGAAAATAATTGAAAACAATCAATCGATTATTTTATGGACAGGTGATGTGACACCCAGAAAAATACGGCATCCTTCATTTAATCCACCAGGGAAAGATTGAAGACAAACAAGGTCCAGGGCAGAAGAAGAACATCATGGTTTCAAAACCTAAGGGACTGGTTTGGACAAAACTCAGCAGCACTTTTTCATGTGGTTGTTGACAAAAATAGGATTGCCAACATGATTGCCAACGTCTGATGATGGATATGGCACAAGAAGAAGAAGATTCAATCTATTAATTAAATGCTCTAGCTGTTTTTATTCCAATTAGATTAACCCTTTCAATATCAATTACGTAGGATTGCATATTTCACCCATATAAATGCAGGCTCCAAATTACTACCACATTTCTGCTGTCTTTTAGCCACTATTTCTCTTGCAACAAAGGGTTACCTATTGCATATCTGGCTATCATATAAGACTAAAGAGTACAGATTAGCTAGCTAGGCTCTGCCAAGGAAGCCCACTAAATAATCATTCTCTGAAGATCATACATCTAGAAAAAACTATGGTATACTTTCGATGGTATGACTTAAATGCTTAAATGCTCTGTAAATACATTAAATACTCCTACCTACCATTTTCTTCATTTGTAATATTAGGACAAAATACTGAAAGTTTTAAAGTTTATTCAAAAATCTGGGAAACCTGGCCAATTTAGAGATTTAGAGATTTCTCTTTTCTTTCTCTTAGCAAGCTACTTTCCTTCCCCAAACAAGCCTACCTTTATTTACGCTGTCCAACTAGAACATATGGCCCTGTTAGGTGCCAGCATCAGTTCAAATAACTCAAGCAGAGTCATGTTGGTTAATACTTGAATGAGAAATGTCAGAGCAATAGCCTAGACTGGGAATATGGAAAAACATAACAGGGCAAAACAATGGCAAATTACTTTCATATTATCCCCAAAAAGTCACCAGGAATCTTGTTTGACTCAGAGGAGAAATTATCTTTACTTTTATCAGAACATGTAAACAGAGAAGGACATATATGTCATGTATTTCCAAATACATCGGAACTGTAGCTAGTTCTTCACTGGAAGGCAGCATCTTTCACTTCTATTAAAAGCAGGGGTGGGATTCTACCGGTTCTGTCCGGTTCGGTTGATCATCGGTAGCTCCGATGATCAGGTCAGCCCACCTGCCCGCCCCTGTGCTTTACTTACCTTTATCTTCTCTGCTGATTGGTGTGGCTCAGCTGTGTTACTCCCAAGTGGTAACACAGAAGGTTAATATTTGTAAAACTGTGCATGCGCGTGCAGTGTGCATTACGCATATGTGCGTGTGAAGCGAGCATGCATACACAAAGCGCACAATCACTGAACCGGTTGTTAAACCAGCAGCATCCCACCACTGATTAAAAGGTTGTGGCTTTAGCCTGATATCCCAACATTCCCAAATCTAGTGTTTTCCCAGCTTTCTTCACTATCCATAATTACGGCCAGTTGATAAATGCCTATGAATTCATGTTTTGTTCATCTTCCATGTTTCTTACACAAGCAAAAGGTAGCCATATAGTGAATATGAGGGTAAAAGTTCATTCTCTGAGCTTGTGGGTTGGTTTCTGAACGTTTTGTTACCAGGCTAGATAACATCTTCAGCAGAGTTTAGGAGAGCATATAGTGAATATCCCTATCATCTAGAATGCAAAGCAAAAGAAATACCTTCATAGTTGGAAATAGATTACAAAGAGATATTGAGCAAATGTTAAGTAATATTTTTTGGTGATTATACAGTACAGAATAATTATCCATTATCCATTCACTCTAACTACTCTTTTTTTACTTATAGATCAAAGGGTGTTTAAATTTTAGAGGCATTAAAGAAATAGTGGAAAAAAGAGATAAATGCCTTTTTTTTTTTAACCAAGTATCATTTTCCAGTTTTTCCTTAATTACAATTATTTGTTTTGACAATAAAAGCCTTGGATCTGTGCCACTGATGATGCATTAACCAACATCATCTGCCATTTCTTCAGTCTGGATAATGTTTGGATTTAGGGGAAATATGGCAGTCCGACTCTTGCAGTGAATGATTCATCATTGACTTAGCGGATATAATGAAGGACAGTCTTAAATTAAGTAACTTATTAAAATATTGATGGCAATTATTGCAAGACAGAGCCAACTGGTTTGCATTTGAGAAAGTATTAAAAAGGATATGGGTTGTGGTTTGAAAACAATCAAAAAGTATTGCTCGGTAATTAAACACCTTACTAAACAAAATTCACAGAGGGTTGTCCCACATGATCATGGAATGAACATTTGTTTTTGATTTAATGTACAAAATCTGTAGTTCTTCTATTACATCTTCAGTTCTGCTGGGAGAATATCATATTTTCCCGGCCCTCAAAGGTGACTTTTAAACTTTATTTTGGGGTGGGGCTGTATTTTGTCAGGAAGCAAATACATCAATAGTATGATCATTATGGAAAAGGTGGGTTTTGATATGTCACAGATAGTTAATTGTGACTTGATTAGTAATAAGTAACAGTCCCCGCTTGTCCACATACAACAGTGCAAGTAATGGGTGTATAGAAAAATATTCCCTATGGATTGTCTTCATCTCATAATTATAAGCAAGCAATCATTTTTAAAGCACCAATTATGTTGGTTTGTTCAGTTTTTTAATGTCATAACTCCCTCAGCCATCTTTTGTTGCAGTGTTAGAAAAGTTTTGTGAGGGCAAGGATATTTCCTCCTGTTGATTTTGCTTTATTGGCTTCAGATGGCACTTCCAGAACTGTTATAAATTTCCAAAATATAGGGGAAAAACTTTAAGAGACAGAATTACATGAACTACAAATTCATATCTTTCTGTTAAAACACTTCTCTGCTTTTTTTAGGGGCCTCTTGGATTGGATGGAAAGCCAGTAAGTAATGATCTAAATAATTAATACATTTACAAGTATATAGTATAGACCAGTGATGGCTAACCTTTTCTAGACTAAGTGCCCAAAGCACGTGCACGTGCGCCCAAAGCCCCTGATGCAGTGCTCGCGGGCCCCGCACATTCGCCCTGCTCCCCGCACATGCACATGCCCCCACGCACATGCCTCATCCCACACATGCGCGGCAGAGACCTGAAGCCCAGCTGGCTGGTGGGAGGTGCGCACGCATGCATGGCAAAGCTGAACTGGGGCAACAGCTCGCGTGCCCACAGAAAGGGCACTGCGTGCCACCTCTGGCACGTGCCATAGGTTCACCATCATGGCTATAGAGAGTATGGAAGATGCCCTAAAGAGGTACCAAGGAGCTGTTGCCAAAGCAAAAGGGACTAAATAAAATTTTTAAGTCAAGAACTACAAGATAACATTCAGAAATGCCCCAGGCAGAAACCTCCCTAATTCTCTGAACTTTAAGAAAGTTAAAGACTTTCAAGATTCTGTTATTCTCCCCATCTACTAACTAAGATGTTCTTACTGTTCCTGTGCAGTTTATTACCTAGATTTGTTTACCTAGTGGGGCTGACAGTGCCCTAATGCTTCACATTAATGTGGAATCATTTGTCTCCAATTGTTTCTGCCTGTTCTACCAAATCTGACAAAGTAGCCATGTTGTAGCTTCCATCCATTCAACATATGGTGGGACCCAGGGAACATGTCTTCCATGTCATCAGGCCTGCAATATCAGGTGCACCCATTTTGGGTGTTTTTTGATGTTGGTGAAGTTTCGTTATGGGACCCAAGTGTACCTGTTTCTTTTATTTAATTTATTGATGTAATTTTTAGAAAATTTATATTGCCCACCTATTCGCACATGGTGACTCAAGGCGGATTACATAAATATAAAAACATCATATATAAAAAATAAAACTAATAGAAGAAAATAATCAAATAAATACTAAATTTTAAAAAAATAGTCCCCCAACCCCCGCCACCCCAGATTTTCAGCCCCTTCCTAAAGAATGTTAGAGTCGGGGCCAGTCTTATCTCTGGAGGAATGATGTTCCAGAGAGTGAGAGCCACCATGGAAAAGGCGGCTTTTCTTCTGGGTCCTGCAACATTCCTTGATACCCCACAAGTATAAATAGTATTTATACTATTTCCGGTTCATTTGATGATTATTGTGTTGTTGTTCTTTTTTAAGAAAAACTTTTGTTATTTCCCAAGAGTCACGAATGTGAGTTAGGTACTGGCTGAATAAACAAAACTAAACTAAACTAAACTAAACTAAACTAAACTAAACTAAACTAAACTAAACTAAACTAAACTAAACTAAACTAAACTAAACTAAACTAAAATAAAATAAAATAAAATAAAATAAAATAAAATAAAATAAAATAAAATAAAATAAAATAATTAAAAGTGCCATAACTCAGGTATAATAATGGAATGTTGCTGCAGTGTTTCAGAATAATTTCTGAAAATCAATTATTTAGTCCATAAAAGCCAAATAAATAGTTTTTACTAAGAGGCAAGCTGTTCTAAAAATCATTTGACAGCCTGGCTGTTAGGTTTCCCTTGGTTTTGAATACTCTGGATTGTATACACATGAAGCTCCACTGAGGCATAAGGACATTTGTGACTATGACAGAATTTTTATCTATAGTCAACTAGATTGAATACAAGTGTGAAGGATATATTGAATGGCAACTCCCTGACCACTTGCCAGGCAATGCAAGCAAGGGGAACCTCTTCCAGTTATTTTCTACTTGTGTAAGCAGCTGTATGTTAAACTAAAGGTGGTCCTGAGGTGCTTGTGGTTGACTCAGCCTTCCATCCTTCCGAGGTTGGTAAAATGAGGACCCAGATTGTTGGGGGCAATATGCTGACTCTGTAAAGCGCTTAGAGAGGGCTGTAAAGCACCGTGAAACAATATATAAGTCTAAGCGCTATTGCTAATGCTATTGATTGGATCTTCTTACCTTTTGAAAAGAGAGAGAGATGCCAGCATAGCAAGTTAGACGAGCAAATAAAAAGCTTACAGAAATATCTGGGTGCAAAAGAGAGTCTAAAAACCAATCAATAAGATACTTAATCGATTCAGAAAGCTGGTTGATTCTAGAGATGCGAAGAATCAAAAACAGTAAGGAAGAGATGTAAAGGAATTTCTGGAATCCTAAACCTGAAAGCATTCTGGATTGCAGGTCTCAAATCTAGCTCAAGCTTATATGGCATCCCTAGACCATGGTGCCATTTCCACCCATGCAAAGATTTGCTTTTTTAGAATAGCCTTTGTTTCCCGAGCCATCCATGGCACCTTAAGCCAGTCCCAACTCAGCCTTAATGTACAGTGCCTGCTCACAAGTATGTGTGAAATAGAAAACTTGAGGCTTCCTGCTTGGCTGCATATTTTTTGTTTGTTTGTTTGCAGATCCTACTTGTAATGATCATTTCTCAAAAGAAATCCTTTTTACTGGGTCTGCTGTGAATTTGACCCTACAGATAGTCCTTGACTTACAACCTTTAGTTTAGTGACCGTTCACTAAACAAAAGTTCAGTGAAGTTATAAGAGAAAAAGGTGTCTTATGCCCTTTTTTCACACTTATGACCATTGCAGCATCCCGGTGGTCACTGATCAAAATGCAGATGCTTGGCAATTGACTCATATTTTATGATAGTCACAGTGTTCCGAGATCACACGATCCCCTTTTGTGACCTTCTAACAAGCCAAGTCAATGGGGAAGCCAGATTCACTTAACAACTGTGTTACTAAATTAACAACTGCAGTGATTCACTTAACAACTGTGGCACGAAAGTTCGTAAGATAGGGCAAAACTCACTTCATCGCTGTTTCACTTAACAACCAAAATTTTGGACTCCATTGTGATCATAAGTCAAGGACTAACTGTACTTTCAAAAGGCCTTTCTTTTCAAGAGAATGTAGTATTATTTTCCGTTTAAGTACAGTGCTGATGTTGAAATTCACCCGGTGCAGCCATTATTTGTCTGCCAGTTGTTTATAGGCTGTTTTGCATGGAATACATGCATTGTCCTTGACTATAGGAAGAAAAAATTACCCCAGTTTAGACAAGGGAAAAAGGTGAGCTCAGACAGATTTCCTATGCAGCTTTGTTTAGTTCAGGTAATCCTCAATTACAACCACAATTGAGCCCCAAGTTTCCACTGCTAAGCAAGACAATTATTAAATGAGTTTTACCCCTTTTTAGGATCTTTCTTGCCACAGTTAAGTGAATCAGGCTTTCCCATTGACTTTGCTTATTCGAAGGGATCAGAAGTGAAAAACTGAAGTAAGATTGTAAATACAGTCAAGGTTTCCCTTAGCAACTGCTTTGCTTAACAACTGAGTTGTCATTCCCAGTTGTGGTCATTAAACAAGGTCTACCTGCAACAAAAGTAGAAAATGTAAACATTTGGATATTTTGAAGCAATAAGGAAAACATGTCCCTGGAGTAGTTTTCAGAAGTTAAAAATTGGGGTAGGAGGAGTGAAAATGTTAGTTTTCAACCTCCTTTACAGATATATTTTGCTAAGTTTATCTTGGCTCACTTGTAAAAGTATGCTTGGTGCAGCATACAATTGTGTTGTGTATTCAAACCATAATTATACGTTTTTGATTGATTTCAACATGTTTTTAATTTTTGATATACATAGAGTTACAGGCTGCTCAATTCCTAAAAATATCATCTTTTAATTCTTGTCTGTTTATGAGAAACAGGCAGGCAAAATGTTTATATTAAAAACAGAAGAAACTGTCAAGATTGTTGCAAAAGAAAGGAAGTTACATATTGATTTTAGCTTCCGCTCTAATGAACAGATACAGAAACAGCTGATTGTGAGAAAAAGCTTCAATTGTTAAACTGTCTCATTTTCTGAAGCAAGCTATCTCTAACAGACGTTTTTAATTCTTCTAATCCTTATTTTTTTTTAGTTTTGAGTGATTTCTGAAACTTAGATTTGCCTCTAGCACTTCACACTAGTGTATTTTACAATTTAATGGATTTCCAAATGCAGAACAATTTCTTTCACATGTTAATCATTTAATATTTATTCAAGTTCCCCTCTTTGATTCTTCTTCAAAAATAAACAACAAAACAAATGCCTACCTTGGAGGCAAAATAGAAAAAAATAGCTTTCTTCTTGATTTTCTAATTCCATCACTCTTACTCCAACACTATTCCTACACAACTGGTTGTCTCTTAATACAGCAAAATATCTATTTTAGACTCTCTTATGGGGATCAACTTATCAGCCACTTTCCACTCTATGATACTAGTGTCACATGTTGAAATAGTCGTATAGGAGAATAACTATTTTTATGGTAGTTTACATACCAAGAAGGGTTCCAATTGAAAACAGTGCTTCTCTATGCTAATTGTTCTCTTTTTGATGTCTATAGGGACCTCCAGGAGCAAAAGGAGATAAGGTGAGTCAAATGAAAAGTGCCTTGACATTGTTAGGAATGCTAATTATTCTAGTAAGCATAGTCTTATTCTTGTAGCCTTTGTTCTATAATGACCTCATTGAGATGACCCTGTAAGACAGAATTATCAATGAGTATATTGGTGCGTATTGCTCTGATGTCCCTCGCAGGCTCTTCATGGGCAGATGAAGGTAGCACACCATGCATATCCAAGAGAAGAAATGGAGAAAGAAGCCAAGAACAAAGAGAATCATCTCTGAATTGTTAGCTGTACCCACTGACAAGAACAATTGGAATAGCAATTGTGAACTATAAACTGATGTTGTATCTTGCATGAATTTGGTGTTTTGACTTCTGCAGCAAAGTTGGAGTCCTGAATCAGGATTGCAATTGGCTAGTTTCTAAACCACAAAGATATACTCCTTTTTCTTTACATTTGAATATATTCATGTAAGAATTGTATAAATAAGAGCCGAGGTGGCGCAGTGGTTAGGGTGCAGTACTGCAGCTACTTCAGCTGACTGCTAGTTCAGCAGATCAGCGGATCAAGTCTCACTGGCTCAAGGTTGACTCAGCCTTCCATCCTTCCGAGGTGGGTAAAATGTGGGCCCAGATTGTTGGGGGCAATATGCTATTTAGTATACTGTCTTTGGTGTAAGCCGCCCGAGAGTGGGCGGCATAGAAATATGAATAATTAAAAAATAAATAAATAAATAAAAAATACTTTGTCTATAACTGTCCTGATAATACATTCTACAGGTCCTTCCATTCTACCCATACACTGTTTTTACTTGCTGTATGTGAGTCCTAAATAGCTCACTAAATCTAAGTATACAATGTGAAGGACATGAAATAATATTGGCTAATGTCAACATTAATTTTTGAAACTTCTAATTTCCTATATTTGGCCACTGGTCCTATTTATAAGGAAGAAATATTTTGGCCAAAAGCAACACTGAACAGCCAATGATAGTAACTTTTCTGTTTTGTAGGGTGAACAAGGAGACATTGGCCCACGGGTAAGTATCACTAGTAATTATGAACATATTTACATGTACATGACAGTTTGGCTGAAATAAGCATAGAAACATCAAAATATCTGAATATAAACATAAAGATTAAAAGATTTAAAAAAACAGAGCTGTACAACTTATCCTTACCTTTCTTTCGCCCAAAGCTTGAATTTTAAGGAAACTCTTCAAAACAAAACAAGTTTTATTTCAGGCTGCATTTTTGCATATATTTACTTGCGAGTAAATCCTTTTGATGTCAACTTCTGCATAAACATCAGCTGTTAACTTTTTAATTCCCTTTCCTAGTAGAAAGCAATATTTAACTTTAATTAATTTAATTGCATATGATCATATTTTTTTCAGACTTATATGGGTATCTTCTCTCTTCTTGCACTAATGGTCATTTCACAGCACCAGACTGTACATTTCTTTTCATGGCTCTCTGTTGATGTACCTTGCAGGTTGTGTAATAACTTAATAATTCAGATTTAGACAAAAGCACCATCAAAGCCAATAGAATGAGCAGCCCTAATTATTTTTTCTAATATGTAAGCTTTGTAGTTCAGTAATACAATTTCAAAACAGTAATGTTATTTATAATTTATTAATTTAACTTCCCATAGGTGAAAGCAAGGGGTGTCAAACTCGCAGCTCCCAGGCCAGATGCGTCACATGCTGGCCCCGCACCCACCTGGTTTAGCGAAGGGGGGAAAAGTTCTGATATGTCACATGATGCTGCTGTGACGCCGCAGGTTTGGCACCCCTGCTCTTGATAAAGGAAAGTTATAATAGCACAGCAACATAGTCTAGTGACAGTGATAGAGTCCAGGTTGAAGTGGAAACCTATAAAAGGAGCTAAGAAGGTATACAGATGGTATATCCATGGTGGTATATAGATAAGATGCATAAGAAGCAATAAACAATATCAATGTACAATATACAATAACAAAAAGGTTACTGATACTAATGAAAAACATAGAATACTATTCAAGTAAACCAAACTATAATTAAATAACGACTGGTTGAAGCTTCAAATGCCCCCCAGAAGTGCTCTGTTTAGAGCAGTCTCCAGAATACAAAGTTGGACCAAACAGATGTCCAGATGTTCCAAAGAACCAGAAAAAACAAAAGTCATGTACAACATATAGTGTAAGGATTTTAGCAACTGCTATGTAGGACAAACAGACAAAAGACTAGCATAGCATATCCATGAATACCAACTAGTAGTCAGAAAGCACAATAAAAACTCATTAGTCTTACAACACATAGACAAATTTTACCATAGCTTCAACTGTAAAACTGTGAGCATCCTAGACAAAGCTAAATCCAAAAACATAGTATTTATAGAAGCTTAGTACTCACACAAATCGGCCATCAAGAGGTACATAGAGATAAACAAGATTTACACACCATTCAAAAGAGACAACAAAAAAGCTAACAAGAAAACAAATGACCAGAAAACATTCTCTCCAGAAGCCTACACCCTGATAAGCAGTGATTAACATCAAATAAACAAGCAAAAAACAAAACAAAACAAGGAACTATCAAGGAGAAAATCATGCCCCCACCAAAACTGGCACTGCAAGCTATTGTATATAAACAAGGAGCAACCCCACACTCATGAACACTGATGATGTCACCTAGTCAGGTAATGAAACATTTACAAGCAAACAACCAAGCTCAAAGAACACCAAGGACAGTTGAACCATGAGCTACATATATTCAGTATCCCAGGATAGTGTTGCAGGATCCAATCTGGGTTAGTTATCGGGAACCTGAAGATGGGCTCCAGCACGAATCCGAAAGCTCGGAAGATAAAACCTCTGGTCTCGGTGACCGACCCAGATTGGATTCTACATATATTCTCTTTTGATCTAACTGAACTCTGTTTAATAATTAACTAATTGGATTCAACAGTTTTCTCTTTTGTAATGCAAAATGTTACTACATGAAAATAGTGTGAGCTTTCCAAGGTTTGTGCAACAAAATTTTAAGCCAAACAGGAAATTAATTTCTCTAATTACTCAATCCTTTAGATTCAGTAGAAGCTAGAATATATTACCTCAGTTTTATCAGAAGAGGACAGCTTGCTTTAGATAATGCTTTGATTCCATTCCATTTCTACATTATAATGGGAAGAGCCTTATTTTTATTTTTAAAGAATTTAACAGTTTTAAACACAATTCACAAACAATTCACTTGGGAAATCTTCTGTTAGTATTATCCATAGAAGAACAAGAGACAATGCATATTTAGAAATTGAGTGACTAAAAAAAAAAAGATATTTAGCAGTGGTGCTTAATCTCTTTCTCAAAGAAGGATTGTTGTCACTATGCATTTAACATAAACCATAAAATGGAAATGATTCAGAAGGGGTCTTTACATTTTAAAGGAAGGAAAGAAAACATTGCAAGCCATTCCCAGATGTTATCAATTATGCATAAAAGAGGTCTGCATTTAGCAATGTTCTTGTTACGAAATGTATTTATGCCCCATTTTCTCAAATGTGTTGCGTCTTTTGGGGAAATTGAGACCTGGTCTCTCAGCAGGATGGACCAGTAATCAGATTGTAGTTCCAACAGTATGTAATCATCCATTTTCTCTCACAAATGCAAAAAACCAATCAGATTCTTTTGAAATTTTAGGACATTTCTTTATTTCTTTGGCCCCTAAGTCCTCTTGTTCTCTTTTCCATTCCCAGAGACATTTTTCTGTGACAGCATCTGGCCTAAATTATTTTTATTTCTTTAAATTGGACAGGTTTATTTTGCTTTGGCCTCAGCAGCAAACTTTATTTCCTGGCTTAAAGGGGGGTGCATTATTTCATACTACATGCTTCACAATACATAGTACATACATTTACAACTGTAAATACCTCACATTTTCAGATAAAGCAATCATTTAGTTAATATTTGAATGTCTTAATTTTCTCTGAGTGCATCATGATCAAAGCCTAAATCAATAGGCCAGACATTTGGTACCCAGTTGGATCCACTGTTGTGTTTGACCTTGCAATTGTTGTGGAACACATTGTGCCATATTTCAGCATTTTAGTTCCATGTTTTCCCAATCCTATCTTTCTAGGCCTTTCCCTTTTTTAATTTACACCTGAAAGAATTTTTGTTACCAAGTTCATTATAGAAGTATCTGTGCCATGTATGTAAATTATTAGGAGGAGAGTAGTGTTATATTTAACCAAAAATGAAAAACAAAATAAAATGTTTACATCAGTCTTTTGGTCCATCTAATTGATCTTCACCAAACAGATTTTTCAGAAGACGCATATTGCCCCAAGTTTCTCTCTTGGTAAATAGGCATTGAGAGAAATCTTTCCTTGAATGGTATTGATTAGAGTCTTTTATGAAAATTGGAGATATAATGTTATGAAACAGAATTCTTACTGAAATTTTCAGCATTTCCAAGAAAGAAAAGTCTTACTTCATGGAATTTGGTGAACTGATTTCTTCTCCCAGACCTGGAATGCTGTCGAGATTATGGAATTGAAGTCAAACACATGTGCAAAGCACTAAGTTCAGAATTCATTCTCCGTACTAGAGTATATGTTGTCCCACTGTCTTAATATTGCTCAAAAAAGAATAAAATCAAATGGAACATGATGTTTTACAGTTAGCTTGCTATATTATCCTCTCACTATATTAAATCAATCAACTGCAACAGTAGAGGTTGTTAGTATTTGTTTTCCAACTGAACTGCTGATTGTGCCCTGAACACAGAAAGAGTAAGGGCAAATAAATATCTATAGATCAATATAAATAAAATGTGGCTTCGGTTGCTTGATTTTGCTACTCCTGTGGCCCAAACTAACATAGAAGACTGGAATATTTACTTCCGCTTCAGCTAAGGTTTGAATCATATCTACAGTACAGTCCAAGACATCTAACTCGAAACAGCATTTTGATAATGATAATGATCATCTAAACAGTATGATGCTTAATTTATAGCACATGTTTTCCGCCAAAGTCCATGGAAGTAACTGGCATAGCAATGCTTTTAATCAGATTCTTTGCTTCCAATCAACATTCTTCATTAAAATTGTGTTAAGATGTTACTTTATTTAAATATGTTGCTATAACATATGGGATTAAGTGAAATTTATTTCCAGGTAGGTTATACAAGATGATTAGATATTTTTTTCACCCCTTCATTTTCCCTTTTATTTTATAAATAAGAATTTTCCTGAAATGCTTATACAGAAATCAGTTCATATATAAATAAATATACACTGCTCAAAAAACTAAAGGGAACGCAGAAGACATCCGAGATCTAAATGAATGAAATAGCCTTATTAAATACTTTGTTCTTTACATACAGTAGTTTATACACTGCTCAAACAACTAAAGGGAACACAAAACTACTGTATGTAAAGAACAAAGTATTTAATAAGGCTATTTCATTCATTCAGATCTCGGATGTTTTCTGCTTGTATTCCCTTTATTTTTTTGAGCAGTATACATAAATTATTTCCTTTCCAATGTGTTAAATGTGGTATAGGTTCACTTGACAATTAGATCCTTATCTAGATCCTTATCTAATAGGACTGACTGGCAAATCAACCTTGCTCATATGTTTCTATATTAAAATCATTTGTAAGTGCTATAGTGGCTAAGGCACATTGTGAGACTGAGAGACCACACGTTCTAGTCACACCTTGGGAATGAAACCAGGTGAGTTACTTTGGGATGGTCACTCTCTCTCAACCTTAGCAAGCAGGTAATGACAAACCACTTCCATAGATTTTGCCCAGAAAAGTGCACGGTCTAATTCAAAAAGTCATCAGGAGTCAATATTGAGTCAATACTGATTTTAAAAAAAGAGAAGGGCTCATCTAAAGATGATTTTCATAGTCCAAGATACCATAGTGACCTGATAACAAAAGCTTGATGCCAGATTAGATATCCCCAGCTTTAAGCTACTCTAACAGTTTGGCTAGTTTTCTCTTAATGAAGCTACATCAGTTCCTTAGGGACAAGCCTTATCAGAGTATGATTGCTCTAATAAAATGTACATTATCTCTTTAAAATTCCTGTAAAACGTCTTAAATTTTGATCTATGGAGACAAGAGTTAAGTATACTTCCTTAACTTGTTTTTGTTAGTCAAAGTTTTAGCTTTGTTGAACAAGTACATTGTCTGTATGCAAACCTATGTAAACAAACCCATATCTCAGGAGACTGTAGGTGGTCTGGGTGTGTGTGTCACAAATTGTCTCCTGTGAACTACTGTAATAGAGTAGTTTATTCTACTGTCACCCATCAGCATCTTGGTTTTGAATCAATTAATGCTGTTTCTGATTATATCAATTGTTTGCTTCCTGTTGGAGTTCTTGGAGCCTTTACCATTTTCTCTATCTTCTTTGTCTTGATTCTTTTTCTTTGCTGACATGCATTGACTAGATGGCTTTTCCTCGCCTCAGTCATGGATTTCTCTCTGACCAGCATATTTTTAGCAGACGTATCCTTAAGGTAGAATCACTTTTAATCTTCTGGCTTGCTGTGTTTTCTTGAGAGGTTGTTGGCTTTTTTTAATTTAAGCTCTTCTGTTCTACTATTTTATTCTTCTGTTTTTCACGCTCTGACTAGATCTCTTACTGTTTTGTGTCATAAACTAAACTGAATATACTTGAGTGTTGTGGCAGTTAGAATCAGAATTGTATTTCACTGTTGTAGTTCGGTCGCTAAGTCGTGTCCGATTCCTTGTGACCCCATGGACCACAGCATGCTAGGCCCTGTGTCTGTCTCCCTGTGTTTCACTATAAAAGCATCAAAATAGTATTTTTAAAAATTACTTACTTTTTAACCCTAATAAACATTTCAATTATCATCCAGTTGCTTCACCATTTGACAGAATACAGTGATTGCCTTCATGAAAACAGATTTAATTCTTCCTCTCCCCCACTTAGGGAAAGTCATGGTGAATATATGTCATGACTACTCAGATTTTCCATAGATTAAAATGTGAAATCTGCTGTGGCTTTATAAGAATTGCAAATGTCAGCAAGAAAGTAAGCAAACTGCCAAGCATCTTATACAAAGAATATGTTGTGTGCATTGAAAATATCTCCGCTTCTATGAGTTTCATATTTAAAGAACATAGAACTAATTTTCAGAATCAGCAGATACCTATACTCCTTGCAGTTTGCAGTATTACATCCTAATACAGGATTCATTTCTACTCCATCCTGTGAGCATTAGGCCACAGTGTTAATTCTTAAGTGTCCATACATCCAGTCTACAAGAACTGCTACTATCAGCAACTCATAAATTTAAGCAATCTTAAGATATTGCTTATCTTGCTCTTGCTTATCATTTAAAAATGTTACATAAATCAAATACGTTTACCTTTCTTGTGCTTTTCATTTTATTTGTGATTTGTAATGTTAGCATCATCTGAGCTTCATCAGCTATTCATACAAATCTAAGAAAAACATTACAATAACATGCTCCAATCCCCAAGATCTATCTAGGTTCATTGCTGTGTTCTTGCATGTACTGCATGTCATGTACAGTGAGAATAGTACATGTACAATAGTACATAGTACATGTCAATATCAAAACAGATAAGCCAATAATATGTCTTCACTTTTTTAATGCTGTGTTTATCAAAACATTGAAAGCTTGGCAAATTTGTCAAGAAGCTGTTCTTGACTTTGATGATATGTTCTGTTTCCAGAATTATGGCCTTAGTGCAACTGCCAATTTTAATGAATAGTAAGAGTGGGATATACATGAAATAATAATTTAAATTCCATTATGATTGAGATGGATCTATTTATGGTATTATTCAGTGGAGAATGATTAGAAATTGAAAAGACATTAAATGTCTTTTATCATTAAATTTCTGAGTTAGAATAGGTTGGCATTAAATTAACCCTGACAATAGGACAACTTGCTTAGATATTAGTTTTCTTGGAGGGTTCACTGATGGTTCCATATTTTTGGCAGGATTATTTGTTATTTTCCAAAATAGATTATAATCCAGGTTATAACAATGATAGCTGCCACTCTTGTTCATTCAAATAATAACATCTTATGGGACCTGCTTTTAATTCTCTACTTAGACCAGAATGTACTGGAAAAGCTATTTGTCAGTTTCCTAATTTGTGAAATAAAAATAATACTATTCTGCATGAGTGTGATTACAATACAGACATTTTCAAAGATGAAGCAATTTCTTTCTGCTTTGCTGGAAACCAATTATGAAACTACCCTATCTTAAAATTCAAAAGCAACTTGCTATTTAAGAACCATCATCTTATATTTGAAGAAAGGAAGTTTTAAAAAGCTGGTAAACCCTATACTATGAGCATGATATGTAATGTACTATATACTGATAGCTTAATTTGGGTGTATTCTTGCTGTGTGATCTCCAATTTAAAGGTAATGTGTTATGTGTTCTACAAATACTGCATTTTTGTAAATATTTCAGTAAATCACTAGATATTTTTTCCAAGAAAAAGCTCCACAGTATGGGTTGTTTAAAAGTATATGATACAGCAGTTAAAGAAAAAAAAAAAACCCACATTGGTTGGCTACCTCAATGTCTAAACACCTAGACAGGAGTCTTCCTGGAAAAACCTTATGTGTAATATGAAGGTTTGTGGAGGGCAGTCAGGAAATGAATATACTAATATAATATACTATAAACATGCAGCTAGATTTTCCATGGTAACTGTACATGTTCAAATGAGCTAAAATGCAATTTGTAGCTTACTGTTTGTAGAGATTTTTGACATTTGCTCATAAATAAGATAAATAAGATTGAAAACACTGGAAAAAACTTGCTGCCCAATGTGCTCTGCACAGGATCTAATCATCATCATCCTCTTTTAACGACCCCATAATCCATTGCGGGGTGGTGTCTGAGCAACTGAATTGAGCAAGCAGAGTGTTTTAATGGCCGGATGCCCTTCCTCTTGCCAATGCAGAGTTTTGTTCAGCAGATATATTCTCAGTGTGCCCAGAGAGAGAAATAACTGCCTCTACCTAGGATCGAACTCGCAGCGTCCTGATAGTGAGGCGAGAGCTCCACCTCAAGGCCACCACACCACTCCCTGCACAGGACCTGATGATGATGTTAAAAATAAGAGATAAGCAGAACTGTTTGCCTTAAAACCATAACTGGGCTCCATAGCTTTGCTGATTTGTTCTACAAATGTAGTGACAGTTTGCTGAAAAATCTATTTTCTTACTAAATTCCCCTGATTTTGGTCTAAAAGATATGGAAACCCAGCATTTGGAGACAGACAGAAAATATACTGTACCCATCATTGCATAGCATCGGTACATGTGAATTGGATATTGGTGAATAAAACATTATAGCCACCAATATTTGTTGCCAAATACATGCAAAAGAAGTCTTTAAAAGCTTCTTAAATATGAGGTGCTATTCTTACCTTTTATTTGGCCCCACCCCAATCTATTGCTGCCTCCTGAGTCCCAGCTGATCGGCTAGAAGGAAAAAAACTGTTTAAACTCTTGCCGCGGGGCTTCAAAGGACTGCCCTACAGCTGATCAGTGTTAAAAGGCAGTATGGTGGTAGACCAGTGCCTCCTAAAACAAATGAGTAGACCGGTGCCTGCAAAAATAAATGGGTAGACCAATGCCTGCAAAAATAAATGGGTAGACCAGTGCCTGCAAAAATAAATGAGTAGACCGGTGCCTGCAAAAATAAATGAGTAGACCGGTACAGCTTTGCAAGCAGTTAAAAGCCTGGTAGACCAGTACCTCTGCTAAATCCTAAAGAATTGTCACATGACCATCAAGCCACGCCCACAAAATAAGCCACACTCACAGAACCGGTTGTAAAAAATTTTAGAACCCACCCCTGCACCAAGGCACTTCTGGGTTGAAAGGATTAGCTGATGACATCACTGTTCCCCAGGGAACACTTAGTTGAGTGTGCCTTTGATGTCCACAGCAGGAGTTGGAGCAAAGGACAGAAGCTCATCCCTCCCAACAGCAGCACTTGGGTCTGGAACGTGAACTTGTTGTTTGTCAAGCCAGCATCCTAATCACGCGAGCCACTGTGCTCCTAGTATTTGATGATACAATCCATTTATTAGGAAGGCACTCCCCCTCCCCCATGTTATAATGCTTTGTCTAAACTTCTTATAGGGAGACCAAGGTAAAGATGGTGCTGCTGGCCCACCTGGGCCTCCTGGACAGCCGGGTTCAAGAGGGCCCCCTGGAGACACAGGGAAAGATGGTCCAAAGGGACCGCAAGGTCTTCCTGTAAGATATAAATAATAACAAAGCTAACTAACATGCATGGTTTGGGAGAAATTCTCCTCATGTTGCATGTAAGCTAAAAGATCTTTAAGTCATATACCCAGCTTGATCATAAATGTAGAGAGTAGGTGAAAGAGGCAGTATCTTGACTGAACTTGCCATCAAGTTTTATTTTATTTACAGTCGGTGGTTTTTTATATATATATATATTAGCTTGTCCAATATAATTTTGCAATGAAATGCATTGGGTAACCTTATCAGAATTTATTATTTGTAAATTGTAATTATGTACCAAGCTTCAGGGTTTGACAACAATTTATTTTCCTTGCTAGAACAGCAATTACCAGTACAATGTGAAGGAATTTGGTGTGATTATTCCATTGAGCAATGGCAGATCTATTAGAAAAATCTATTCTCAGGATAGTTTTTTTTTATCCATTAGCCGTTCTCAATCTTTTCTTTAATAACTAATTATTGACACCCCATCCTTGAATCTGAAGAATGACAGAGTTTTATTTACCAAAAACCATTAAATGAGATGAAATCTATTGTTGTGCTCAGTGTTAAGTCTGATTGTTGATCGTGTGGTGTTATCTGCATGTCGCTTGAGTGAGCTGGTAAGACGTTGATTCCTAAATCAACGGAATACCTGAAGTATTTTTTTTCTCAAAACAGAAAATGCAATGTGATCTATTTATTTTTTTTACAATCTCCACATTTCTCTCCTTCACTGTTATACTTCACTGCTGGTAGAAAGGATTTTAGAAAACAGATTTTGAAGTAAAATATGTTGTTGGTCTAATTTGTAAAATGTATATTTATGGTTTTTTTAGGGTGAGAAAGGAGAAGCTGGTGTCATGGTTAGTATGCAATATATGATATTAAAGCCATCTGTAATGAATTGTTCACATGTTAAATATGGGATAGTTATATAAGTATAATTCAAAAGTTTTTGCCTGTTTTCTTAGTCACTGTGTCCTGTGCCTAATAACTTTAATGGGTGACTTCCTTTCATCCTGGTTAGTAATCACTATTGTTTACTTCCATCCACTTTTGGTTCCTAATCTAATTGTTTCTCCATCTCTCCTGAGCTAACAGAGAATAACAGTAGCCAGATTTAAAGTACTATGCAGGATGGAAACAAACAGTCTGCATTGATTTCAGAACTAAACTGTGTGCCATCATGAGCCTCCTCTTAAAGTAGTTCTGTGTCACTTCACACATTTTATTATCTTGTAAGGAGCCTTTTAAACCCATTTCTTTAGAATAATATTTCTTTTAAGTGATATTTTTAAGTGAAATTCCAGATTTCAGAATGAGAATTTTGAAAGCTCAAGTTGATGTTACCCCTGCTATCTGCTAATATTTTATATTTTAGAAAAAATGGCTACAGTCTTGTAGAAGTATGCGCTATATTTTCTTCCACACTTTTTATATGACTATTGTTCCAGTGCTTGTTGTTGCATTAGCAGTGTGTTATTGTAAAAGGTCATATCTATTAAAAACGTTTTTAGTTTAGTTGTAGAATATCAAACAAATCTAAGAGGTAGAGCTAAAAGGTAATAAATGAGATAAGCACCATAAAATATAGTTTTCCACCCAGCTGTCTTTTAAAACCAGCTTGTAACAATTTAATTCTGAGAATGCAAATAGTCAGAAACAGCCAATTACTTCTATCTCCAATTCAGTGTATCAGTAGTGAAGAAAGGGGTTGGTGAGGGAAAAATACTTGCCCTGAAGTTCTGAGGGCTGTCCACATGTCAGGAAGGGAAACAGAACTCCCGTTTACTTTTCTGGTGATCTTCCTTTTGAGCAGCTTGAAGGTATGAATCAGGAACATCCCCATGTTTACATCTTGACTCCTTAATTTTAACATTGAAGTAATGAAAAGTAAACTTTGCATGAAGCCTCCCAGGCAATTAAAAGGGGCATTTCTGCAGTCTAAAGTTACTTCTTACTTATCGTGGAATTTAAACATAAACCTTTTGAAATAAGTGCTTGAAATCTGGGATCCATAAAATGCAATAACTTCAGGTTATTTAAAAGAAATTGCATCAGTTGTGGGTGAAAGAATTGAATTTTACTGCACTGGAAAAGATAGTTTCAATATCAATTTGAATTAGTATTTTCATTTTTATTAATTTTATTTTCTCATGCCTATTTATTTATTTATTATTATTATTTTTTGCATCTGTCATATAAAATGCTTTATTTATTTATTTTGAAGGGCGAACCTGGTATTCCAGGAACAAAAGTAAGTTATTGGGGTTTCTTCTTTTTCTCCAAAACTACCTGCATTTAGATATCATGTAATCAATCATGCAAACGTGCCCTAAGATTTGGTAGGGTGAGGTGGCTATCAAAATAGCAAACGCTGGAGAGATGTGGAGCCAGGAGTACAAGTTTGGGTATTTCATCTATTTACCTCTCCAATAGTTCCTATCCTCCAAAGGTGGTACCTCAACACTAATGCTTGCTTGACTAAGGCCATCCCAGTGCGTCATAGGCAATTTTCCTGAAAATGGTCCCTCACCAAGTGAGCAGATAGAGAAGCAACCAGCTTAAACCTGTCTCTCTTTTGGATATGTGCATGTCTTGCTCTGTTTATGCACTACGCATTGAACCAGCTCTATGTATAGAACTGAACATGCAGCAAATAGATACCAGAAAGAGCAATGAATGAGCAGCAGTATGTTATTGAATAAAAGATTAGCATTTTTAGTATTATTATGAGTTGTATTACTGGAGAGTAAAAGTTATACCATTGCTTCCTTGCTTCCTTCCTTCCTTGCTTACTTGCTTGCTTCCTTCCTTCCTTCCTTCTTTCCTTCCTTCCTTTCCTTTCTGTATCCTGCCTTTATTATTTTTACAAATAATTCAAGGCAGTGAAGATATCCAATACACCTTTTTCCTATTTTCTCCATAACAACCACCTTTTGAGGTGGGTTGGGCTAAGAGAGAGGGTGACTGACCCAAGATTACTCATCCAGTTTTCATGGATAAAGCAGGACTAAGGTGGGACACATAGTCTCCCACTTTCTAGCTTGGTGCCTTAACTACTAATGTTGGGTATCACTAAGCAATGGGCAGAACCAAAGGAGGGTGGGGCTATCTACTCCTTTACTCCCTCTTTCTTTCCTGTCTTTCTCCCATCAACCTCTTCCCCATGTATAGGAGGCTGGAACAGATTGTTCTTATTACAGATGTTAAGCAATTAGTTGCTGAGATTCTTTGAAATGAAGTCAAGGGTCACATTAAAAAAAAAAAGAAAATAAATTGATGAATGTGAAATAAATGAAAGAGTTATAAGCCTGCACTTTCTGAGTTGGCCTTCATCCCTCTGACTCATTGGCAGTTTTGAAATTGGATTGGATTCCCACACTAGTTGTCTTCAATTCAGAGAAGAGTGTGGAGTCAACAAAATGATTCAGAAGTTTGGAAACAAGATATTTGTTCAAGGTCCTTGGTGCTCTCTGAGCTTGATTATTTTCTTGCAGACATTTCATTACCCAAACTATATAACATCATTCAGTGCTAGGTAACATCATCAGTCCTAGCACTGATGATGTTACCTAGTTTGGACAATGAAACGTCTCCAAGAAAACCAAGCTCAGAGACCACCAAGGACCCCTCATTTCAACTCTGAGCTACAAGTATTCTCCTTTATTAGATATTTGTTCATCTAATAAAGGAGATGAACAATTCTAAAATTTATTCTCCATTGCTTTCAATATCATAATGGCTGTTGGTCAAGCCTAGTAAAGTGTAAATTATTATAGATAATAATAATAATAATAATAATAATAATAATAATAATAATAATAATAATAATAATAATAATAATAATAATATGGACTTTGATTTGTACAATGATACATTTTATACTCTGGCTTCTCTCCTTACACATTTCTGCTTGTATTCTTTTTTTTTAATGATTTTGAATGCTTAATATTGTTTTTATCATTCATTAAAGTAGGTGATTTTTAATTTTATTAATTTCTTTTATGGTGATTTTTATTTATCAAGCATGAGTTGGTTTTAATACAGTTCCCTATAAACTTACATTAGTGGTTTAAGCCCGAAACCACCCATTATAATCACACATTTATACAAAGCAAACATGCTCAATTTGGTATACATAATACCAGTGATATTTAAATCCTGCAGTGCAGTGTGAAAGAGATGGATCACATGAATTTCAAGAATCAGTTTATATGCCAAATCAAAGTTTAATGATACCATACTAAAATGTTCTGTCCATGTAAAATATAGAGATGATTGATGCATAGCAATCACAATTATATGGCTACCAGATTTTATAAATATATTTAAGGATTAAAATTCAGTGGATTCCACAGGTAAGGTTTCTAATATAAATGCAAACAACCTCTTTAAAAGATAAATATTTATTCCCACTTTTAAATTAAATCCAGTTAGTAATTATTTTGTGATACTGGCAAATATAACACACATCTACATTTCAATCTCACCTGTATATATTCTATTTATCAGGGTGATGCTGGGACTTCAGGAGAACCAGGAGTTCAAGGACCAAAGGTAAATCTCATTTCTATATCTCACTCTTTCTGGTTGCATGTAAGCTTGAGTGTAGGACTCTGCTTTAAAACAAAAAGCACTATTGGGATCTGGGGAGACAAAGCAAATGGGCAATGAAATGTGCACAATGACAGATATTTGCAGATAACATTGTGATGTAAGTAAAAACGGTTGGGGTGTGTGCATTATGAGGTTGCAATGTACATTTCATCATTTTTCATATTATTGTGGTTAGGGATGGATGGCTATAAACAGCCACAATGAAAATCTATAGGACTGAACAGCTGAGCTTGCTGTTTGCTTGTTGCAAACTGGTCACAAATAGCCCAAACGGCAATCATGGGACACTCTTGACAGTCATAAATATGAGGATTGGTCACAAAGCTATTTGTTTTTATACTGTCCTAATTTCAAATAGTTGCTAAACAGGCAATCGGTAAGCAATAGCTACCTGTATATCGCTGAATCAAGAACTGAAAATTTCTATCTATTTGGCTGATGATATTGGGCTTTATTAATAGTTAAGTAAATATAACTGTTTGAACAAACAAGTTTGAACTGCATTTAGAATTCAGATACAATGCAAATAAAAGATTTTAATATGAATATTGTTTCTCAAGTAATAATTGATACCAGATTCTTTTTAAATTTAGGGAGAGCCAGGAACTTCTGGGCCACAAGGAGAGAATGGTATTCAGGGGCTGCCAGGGTCAAAGGTGAGCATCTAATTAAATAGCATCATGCGATTTGTGAATGTCCTGGATTCAGCTGAGGAATTGTCTGGGCACCACTTTTAGACATTGCAAGCAAGCAAACATTGCCCCAGGGAAGGACAGAGGCACAAATGGACTTCTGGAGCCCAAAGAGAATAAGACTAGCATGTGCTTTGCTTAAAAACTAAAATTTCCTTGGATTTCTTTCAAACAACCAGGAAGTATTAGCCCAAATGGAAAAAGGCCTTGTTTCAAGTGGCTTCTTCGGACTGAAGTTAGAGAATGTTTTGAAATAGTAGCAGCTCCCCTTTTTAAAAAAAAGTTTCTAAGGGGGCAAGCTAACTCAGCCATTTAAAAAAAAAATTATAAGATTATAGTGTTTATTTTTTTATAAACCTCAGGTTCTTACTTTAGCTTATTGTTTGTACATTTTGTTGGTTCCCTTGAATTCCTTTTGAATACAAGATGATGTTAAACCACTTCAAATGAAAGAAGAAAACAGGTTAATATATTCTGGTTAGGAATAGAGAGTTTTCTTTCTTTCCTTTCTTTCCTTTCTTTCTCTCTCTCTCTCTTTGTTTATTTATTTGCATCCTGCTTTTATTATTTTTATAAATAACTCAAGGTGGCAAACATATCCAACACATCTTCCTCCTCACAACAGTTGTTTTCCCCACAACAACAAACCTGTGAGGTGAGGTGGACTGGGCTGAGAGTGATTGACCCAAAGTCACCCAGCTAGAAATCACAGTCTCCCATTTTCTAGCCTGGTGCCTTAACCACTAGGCCAACTGGCTCTCTTTTATACTTTTATAGAACATCTCTTTCCAAGGTATTTAGAAGAGCGGGAAGCATTGGCCAGTATTGAAGAATAGGTGTAAATAAGCCATCAGAGCTTACAGATGTGGGATGCCTGAGATTAAATTAGCTAATCGATGCTTGGAAACTTTTTTTCCATTTCAATTGCTCTTCTTGAAGATACATGGAATTTGCAAGGCAGGTTATGCCCAGTAGTCTAAAAAGATGCAAACACACTACAGAGCCAAAAGTGAGGAAAGGGAAAGGCTACCATAGCTGAATGTTGACTTGTTTGACAACTGTTTTCCATTGTGCCTCTTTCAAATGTTGCAGGGTGAACCAGGAAGCGTTGGCGAAAACGGAGAAAAAGGCATAGATGGGCTACCAGGGCCGAAGGTAAGGAGAGCATGAGAAAAGCATGTTACGATTAGCACATCCATTGGTTTTTATTCTGGAAATAGCAGAACAGTAAGACTGCCACTGGTATTGACATTATCCTTTCTCAACTACTCAGCCAGCAGGTATTTTTTAACTTTCTCTTGCTGAAAGAAGAGACTAGAAAAAGGAAGCTGAGAGAATCCAAAATAGAGATCTCTGAGGTGCCATTCACTTCTATGGACAAGGAGAACCCTTCATGGATAAATACTCCTCTTACTGTCTTCATTGTTGAAATGAAATGTTTGAGGGTTGATTCCATAGTTCCTCATGAGTTTACACATTATTAAATGAATCGTGGCATAAAAGAAACTTTTTTATTTATTTATTAGATTTATGTAGCCACTCAACGTATGCAACATAAGTTGCGTGGGTAGCTTGTCCCACAAGGGTTGGGGTGGTATGCTTGGGTAGCTCACAGTCCACAGTATAAACAATAAAAACAGGGGGGGGAACCCATAACAACACAAAAACTCCCAGCAACCCCAACTGCAACACATCCCCCTCCCCCGGCCTCAAATACTTTTACTGGACTCCAGCCTCATACCACCCCAACCCTTGTGGGACAAGCCAGATCTTCAAGACTTTTTGATGGCACAGTGGTTAGAATGCAGTATTGCAGGAGTTACTGCCAGGAGTTCAATCCTGACATGGCTTCAGGGTTGACTCAGCCTTCCATCCTTCTGAGGTCAGTAAAATGAGGACCCAGATTATTGGGAGCAATCTGCTGACATTTGTAAACCGCCCAGAGAGTGCTATAAATCACTATGGAGTGGTATATAAATGTAAGTGCTAGTGCTATTTTTAGAAAGCTAGGAGGATAAGGGCCTGCCAGATCTCAAGGGAACTGTTGCTCAAAAGACAGGGCTATAACTAAAAAGGCACAATGCCTATGTTTTACAAAATGGCAACATTGATAATAAGACTGTATGCTGCCCAGAGTCATGTGACAGCAAGATGGGTGACAAATAAATTTAATAAATAAACATTTAAGAGAGGGACCTGGCGTGCACTCACCCTATCAGACCTAGAGGAATGGCAGATATTCTCAGCAGAAGGTGGCCCCACAAATAACCTGCCCTTGTGCCATTCATTCTTTAAAGATGATAACCTTGAATCACACCCAGAAAGAAACTGGGAGTCATTGCAGTTCACACAGCAGCAGTGTAATGACAGACAAAGGGATGCCCAGAACTGTCCATGCCATCATATTTTTAGATCAATTGTAATTTCCAGTTGGTCTTCAAAGATGTGTCCCAAATAGAGCACATTGTAGTAATCCAACCAGGAAGTGACCAGAGCATGAAGGACCAACCATGAGCAAGGCCTTCCAGTCAAGGAATGAATGCCACTGGTACATAAATCAATCTGTACAAAGCTCCACCCACCCACCCACAATTGCTACCTGCTGAGCAGGAGCCAGGAACCTCAAGTTATTCACAGCTGGAGTCAGAGATGGTGCCTCACCAGTTCTTCTCTGCCTTGCTGTTGATTGAGTTGAAGCCGATTCCTCCCCATCCAAACCCTTACAGCCTCCAAGTGGTGAGCCAGCATCAGGACAGCAATTCTTGGTCAGTCAGAGGTGATGATATATAGCTTGGTATCATCAACGTACCGATGATAATAAACCCAATTCCATTGGATGACCTCTCCCAGCAATCTCGCATAGATGTTAAATTTGTTTATGTGTTTATTTTTTAAGTATTTGTTTATACAGGGTCAATGCCTGAAAGTACTGTCCTTTTAAATGCGGCAACATTCCTAATCTGTAACATTGAGATTACTGTCATGTTATCTTTTTTGCTGTTTTGTCATTTAAGTTTCATGGTTAATTAAAACTGCTTGGATTTCCAGTGATGTGATATACATAATTTACATATTCAGAGGATTCAGTGTTGGTAGGAGGCTTGTGTATCTTGAATCTGATCTGTCTGGTTTATTTTATAGTTAGATTATGTTGAAAGCTTTTAAAGCTGCTGCTGCTGCTAATATTGTGTTCCTCCAGAAGTCATATGAATCTGCTTTTTCTTTAAAGTAGGTGGAGAAAGTCACTCTCCAAATTTTCACTGAATTAAATCTCTAACAGCTCAAGTCAACATGGTCAATTTCTCTTATCTTTTCTCTAAATTTTTATTGTTTTTGTTCATTTTTCAGGGTGAGCCTGGTGAGAAGGGAGCAGATGGATATATCGGGCCAAGGGTATGAATTTCCTGGGGGGGGGTGTTAGTGCCCTAAAATACATAAGCCACAATTTACCATTTCCCAATAATTTAAACGGAACTGGGGAAAACATACAATATAGTAATTATGAACATTATTGCACAAACCTGTGTTTGAACCTGCACACTAATTCAACTAAACATTATAATTAATATAAATGTTTTGGCATTGAAAATGTTTTCAAGGAATTCTTAAAATTTGGTATTTGTGTGGGACATATAAATACAAAGGATTACAACAAGTACCAGTAGAATCTGTTTTGTATACACATATACTTTCAAATGCACTATACTTTCAAATAATTACAATACCAAAATCATTTCCACTGTTATAGATTGATTAGAACCTTATAGAAACAGATGATAAATAATTTGAAGAACATATTTCTTTCTTCTACAGCAAAGTTTTCCAACTTTACAAAGAGTAGGCTGGGATCCTCCCAATTCTACAGTCTCAGTCAGAGGTGATATTCAGCAGGTTCTGACCAGTTCTGGAGAACCGGTAGCAGAAATTTTGAGTAGTTCAGAGAACCGGTAAATACCACCTCTGGCTGGCCCCACCCATCTATTCTCTGCCTCCTGAGTGCCAGTTGAGCAGGAGGAAATGGGGATTTTGCAGTAACCTTCCCCTGCCACATCCACCAAGCCACGCCCACCAAGCCATGCCACGCCCACCAAGCCTCATGTATAGAACTGGTAGTAAAAAAAATTGATTTCTACCACTGGTCTCAGTTCATCTAAAATTGCCAAGTTGAAAAGACGCTCCTTTTATTTCTCAAAGGGTTCAAATACTTAACTAAATCCCCAGGGAAGACTATTGTAATAGGTTGGGAGAAGGGGTATCAATAAAGTCCCCCTCTTTTCCTCCATTTACAGATGCTTCTCCTGCATTAAAGAATTCTCCATGAATGGAAAAGTACAATTAGAAACAATTCTTAGTACCTTTCTGAGGGTTCACATCCCTTGAGTTTAACTTGTACATTTGTCGATTAACTTTCAAAATAGAAATCCCCCAAGGTAGTATATAACAAAAAGAACAAAACAACGAAAGAACATAATTAAGTTTCTTTCCCAGAAGAAATCTCCATTTCCTCTTCGATGGTTCATAGTTCATGTGGTGATAAAAAGCTCTGAATTTCAAAATGGTTTTAACAAAATGTTTTAAGGAAAGGAGTTCTACAGCTGTATCAGCACTGTTGAAAAGGAGCTGGGCTTGATAATTTAAAAATAGCAAGCTTGAGATCAGGGCAGTCAACAGCTAGGCCTTTCTTGGGACTTCAGCAGTGTAGGTGATATTTGACTCTTCCTTACAGTGGATAATAATTTACTAAGGCATCCTAATAGTATGTGAATAGTAGAGCGTTATGTCTGTTAGCATAAACCCCTTGCAATAACTTTTTTCTTTTCAGGGACCTCCAGGCCTGAAAGGAGAACAGGGTGATACAGTAGTAATTGACTATGATGGTAGGATCTTGGAAGCTCTCAAGGTAACATGCGTGATACAATATGATCATACTATTCTCTGAACTAATTAATTCATTGTGTAAATAAAGGAGTTTTATATATAAGTGGGTGGGTGGGTGGGTGGATAGATGGGTGAAGATTGGTGGTGCAGTGGTTAGAATGCAGTATTGCATGCTAATTCTGCTGACTGCCAACTGCCAGCAGTTCAGCAATTCAATTCTGAGTTGCTCAAGGTTGACTCAGCCTTCCATCCTTCTGAGGTTGGTAAAATGAGGACTCAGATTGTTGGGGGCAATATGCTGACTCTGTAAACTGCTTAGAGAGGGCTGTAAAGCACTGTGAAGTGGTATATAAGTCTAAGTGATATTGCTATTGCTAGATGATAGCTAGATAGATGGATAAATAATGGATGGATGGATGGATGGATGGATGGATGGATGGATGGATGTTCCACAATTGGTGCTTTCCAGACATTCCATGATTGGTAGTCACACTGGATGAAATAAGTTAAAAACTGTAGCAATGTTGTCAGATATACAGTATGTATATAAGATCAGAAACCCATATTATGTTGTACCTTGCTTCTCTCATTGACCTGTCAGGCACCTTTAGAAAAACTATAATCAAAATATGAACATAAGATGTATATGTATTCTGCATAAAATTTAGTAAGAGAACTTTGAAAGTGTAGGTCATGGCCCAAATATTCCATTAATCAATGCTTACAACAAAGGTAACAATATCACCTCCACCCATCCCAGAGGGCTACGTAATGGAAGTGAAACCCCATCCTACCAAAGAGAACTAGATCCCAATTGTCTCACATCTGCACTTGCACATCTTCAAGCATATATCTTTAGGTGCATGCATAGATCATCGCCTTCTTATTAATGTAATACACATTGGTTCTCTACTCTGATGAGTTGGGGCACCCCAGGCCCTTCACTACTACATATTCTCAGGTCATACCAGTCTGATACAAATCTTAATACTTTACTTCTAGTGTTGTGCTGCTTGCTGTCTCATTGTTGTTTCTGAATTTGGAAAAGCAACTGCATTGCTTCCCAGACAGAATATAGTTGTTCCTAAACACAAATACAGAAAAATTCAGGTTGTTCTGGGAGTGAGGACTTGTGGGGGGGAGGGGGTGTAATGGCTATCTACACTTCCTCAGGGTGATGAATACTTGCAATAATTGACACACAGGTAATATTAACAGGTGTTTGTTTACATAATAGATATAGTTTAATAGTTACAGGAATAGAGTTTACATTTTTTTCCTTTCAGATCAATAGATAAAAGCAATGCAGTAACATTTTCTGATAATAAATTTGCACAGATTATACTATTTTCCATTGGGAGAAGGCCAATCTATGAAACTACTGTTTTAGCTGTATCGAGTACATTTGAAAACCATCCTAATTCTTTTATAACAGGCTGTGGGGAAACCCAAATTGACGGTAATTGTGGCGTGCCAGATGTTCACTTGGATTGGTTTGTTGGAATGGCTAGCATGTGGCTTTTTTGTCTTGGATTTCTGGATTGTGATCATTAACAAAACCTCTGCTAAACATTTGGTTAATAAAACAGATCCAAATCTAAAGGGATTGTTTACTTTGGTTTGTATTTCTCTAGCTTACTGAAGTTTAGTAACTGATCCGACAGTCATTTTGAAACTAAAGTCACTGGCAGTGCTTAATATGAGAAAGCTTTTTACTCATTACTGAAATTAATATTACTACTTAGCTTTGGCTTGACCAGTGCTTACCATTACATTAATCCAGTACATCATTCTGATCTCTTGATACAGCCAACTCCCATTAACAGGCACCAACATAATTCAAATCCTAAACACTTGGAGACACCGGATTGGGGAAAGTTGAACCGCCAGTTAACACTGCTTAGTTTTTATCACTTAGATCAAGAAACTTGATTTTATTTTAGTCAAGGGCCCAAAATAATTTTAGACTCCACCATACCAGAAATGGCTATTAGATTAAATATTCCCAGTTTACATTTTAGATGATAATGAAAATCTGATTATTAGAACATACTCATTCTGACTTGTATTTTTGTTTTCAGGGTAACTGCGTGTTACCCTTACTGTGCAGGAAAAAAAAAAACCCTTGAATAACTAAATTCTGTTTTCCACTATCCTTCTCACCAAAAAATCCAAGAATTTCCCATGACCAGGCCTCATAGACAAAAGGCATTATAATTTAGGTAACCTAGTTTCAGACTATTTTACATGAATAATCAGTTATCATGTGATCATTAGTTTGCCCATCTATAGCCTATTTCATGCATGAATCACATGTTCACAGCTGTTATCAGAAATAAGACTGCAATGCCCTTGTAATTTTTTCTATAGTGGCAAAACCTACATGCCAGCATTTATTCACACATGGGCTTCCATATGATGGGAATCCAATTGTGTGAAAAGCCTTTGTGCAAGCAACTGTTCATAGGTTGACTTCTGTACGTTTGAGTTATCATACAGCAGAGCCTCCAGTGCCACCTCTGTCCTGATCGTGCATGCATGATACATTGATTTGATTTTATATAAGACTTTTTTTAAATGCATGTTAGTCCCATACTTGATTTGTGACCTGAATTAATTTGCATTGGAAGACTTCAGGCATTGCATATTTAATTTAATATGCCAAGGGTATATAAATTGTTTGGATTAAATCCAAAACTTTCCTTTTATCAATGGAAGGAGTATTTATCCAATAGAGCAGGGGTATCAAATTCAAGGTCTAGGGGGAGGATCTGGCCCACAGGCTGCTTAGATCTGGCCCATGGGACCGCTCTGGAAACAGCGAAGGACCAGGCTGCGGTGCCTCTGCCAGCGAAAATGGAGCTCAGGAGGGCTGCAGGTGGCCCTCGCAAGCTCTGTATTTGGTGGCAGAAGGTTGCAGAAGGCTGTCGCAACGGAAAATGGAGCTCGGGAGCCCGTTTTCACTGGCAGAGTGCTCAGGCCACCACAGGCACTCCTGACACGAGGGATATCAAGCTGGCCACTCCACCCACACAAATGGTGGGATTCAAATAATTTAACAACCGGTTCTCTGCCCTAATGATTTCTTTCAACAACCAGTTCACCAAGCTGCTCAGAAAGTTAACAACCGGTTCTCCCGAAGTGGTGCGAACTGGCTGAATCCCACCACTGGCCCACACCCCCTCTCACGAGGTCAGGCACAATCCTGATGTGACCCTCAATGAAATTGAGTTTGACACCCCTGCAATAGAGGGCAGTCTTCAGATTGAATTTTTCATGATGAAAGCCAATTCGCATTTCTTAATAAACTACAAGTTGTCACCTGCATGTATATTCATAGTGAACAAAATGAAATTCATTCATAATTAGAGCTTTTACCCAGGGCTTCCTATATAAATGTTGCACATACGTTACTGAACTGGTAAATTCAGTTCCCAACACATTCAGTTCCCAGCCAGAATATATGATAAATTAAAATTAGGGAATTTTATTTTGAAAGGACAGTATTTAGTTGCTCTGAAAATAGGTATTTTCTATAAAAATATAAAAGACAAATAATCATATTTAGTACAAGGAGAAAATTCATTTTGGGAACTATAAATAGTCCTCAACTTATGATGAAAATTGGGACTGTCACTTGTCTCTTTTAAAATTTATATATATGTGTGTGTGTGTATGTATTGTATGTACCGTGTTTCCCCAAAAATAAAACACTGTCTTATATTTTTTTGAACCCTGAAATAAACGCTTGGCCTTATTTCCATGCGCCCAAAAGCCCGATTGGGCTTATTATCAGGGGATGTCTTATTTTGAGGAAAACAGGGTATGTGTGTATGTGTGTATATATATATCTGTTGGATGCCAACTGGGAAGGTCACAAATGGCAATCACATACCCCTGGAACACTGCACTGGTCATAAGTGCAAAGACTGGCTGTAAGTCAGCACTGTCCTAAGTTTGAATGGTTGCTAAATGAATGGTCATAAATTAAAGACAACCTGTAATAAGGTGATTGACATAAAAGAGTCAATGTCTCTCAATTTCTGCTGGACCCAAACAGATTTCCCTTTTACCTTACCTTCTCCCTTGTATTTTAAGAGAATTCCATACAAAAGAAAACAAAAATCTTGTCGTGTGGTTGCATCGTGTTGATAATCCAAGATTTCACACATTGCAAGAATCTCAGAATAGTTGTGTTTACATATTTGTACCTGTCCACTGTTGCTAGTTGAAGAGGTTGAAAAAGAAGGAAAACAATGTTTCTATGAAGTGACAACTTGGAGATGTGTCATTATTGTTATAAGACAGATGGCTCCTATCACCTCATAATAAATGCGATGCAAGACTCACTGAACAGAAATTGTTTATAAGCTTCCTTGCACCGTGGAATAAATACCCTGCAATTAAATATTAGATAGTGTACTCCAAAGACATTTCTGTGTATTATCATTGTTGCTTAAAATAATTGTTGTCTGTTTTCTAAAAGTTATTCAGTACATGATTAATTATAAATACTTTATTTCTTAAATATTACTGTTAACAACAGCAACAAAATCCTTCTTATTCTTTGTTTTAGGGGCCACCAGGGCCTCAAGGGGTTCAAGGGGAACCAGGGCCTCAAGGCGCTCCAGGACCAAAGGTTGGATCTCAGTTCCTATAAAACAAAATCTATTGATCTATGTCAGGGATGTCAACCTTGCTGGCTGGGGAATTCTGGGAATTGAAGTCCACTAATCTTAAAGTGGCCAAGGTTGGACACTCCTATTCTACCCAATGGCCATTTGATGGCACAGTTAATGATTCATGTGGATTATTCTATTAATGACATAGGTCTTTTGAGAACTGATGAGATCAGTGATGAGTTTTGAAGATTAACATGTAGCGGTATATAGGTAGCAGGCATCAGAAATTTTTGGATCACTTATATATATTTTAATTTATATGGTAATATGCATTAGGTTTCTTTATATGGTCACTTGCATTTTTGACAAGAGGCTCTTAATGGCTATTTATTGAAGATCTAACAACTAACCTGAAAGACAGCAAAAACAACATAACTGAAGTTTAGCAAATGTAACTTTACACCCACCAAGATCTTTGTGGTGGTTGTTGTTGTTTTTGCTCACTTGGATCTTGAAATATTGCCTTTGTTTACAAGTTAGAGCTGGGAGGTATTTTAATTAAATTAAAATTGGTGCTTCAGTTCTGAAATACAGTCATAAATTCAGATAAGTGGACATAGAATTGCAATCTGAAGAAACTGGGTGCTTTGACTAAAATATCCAGCTTTATTGACAGCTCTTCAGGCTTAGTCCTTACTTAGAACTTAGTCTTAGTCCAAGAAAATAAAAAATTCTTTTATAGAACTTAATTTGAACTGATACTCAATTTAGAATATCCCCTTGATCCTAATTTATTCATTTTCTTTAATACTTTAGGGGGAGCTTGGTTTGCCTGGTCCACCTGGAGTTGATGGAGAGAGGGTATGTTTCAGGATTAATATGTTCACTATGAAAGTGTTTGACTGAATTTATTTTAAAATAGAAAATTACTACTATGGCTACAGTTATATACTTTGTTAGCTGTAAGTGCAGTGAATTAAGTAGTTAAGAGATTGCACTATAATTGTCAAAGTTATTAAAACAGTCAGAATCTTCAAGGGTTTATGAGGAAATAAACTTTATAAACATAGGCCTGTTTATTGCTATTTTGAACAAACATTACTGACAGAAATAAACAGAAAGAGAAACATTTTTACTTGTCAAACTTCTCTCTCATTTTGTGAGGCCCAGCAACCAGATTTAATTTACATTAAAAAAGAAAATAAAGCAAAGGAAGAAACTCTGGAAGTTAAAGTTAGAAATAAAAAGAAAATCCTTCTAAAATAGAAAGGTGTCATTATTATCCCTACAAATATTTCAGGCTGACTGAAGTTCAGGCAAGCTTTACCTGTATACAACTTTATCCTATCAGATATTCAAAATCATTTTAAGACGGTTGTGCAAAGTCTTCAAACGAAGCCTTTCTTTACAAAGCAGCAAGCTGTGAAAAAAAGATGTGGCTTTTTGGTAATTTGAAGAGAGACACTTTACATTGTGCAGAAGCAAAGGATTTGCATAGCACTTCAGAATGCAGAGCCCTTAAATTTCCTCAGCTGTTTAGAGGTTTAGTACATAAGCAAAATGGCCCATGGGGGGGACGCGCTGCTTTCCCCGTGCCCCATTTTGGGCCTAGTAGGCCTCCCTGCACTTAGCTCCCTGGGACCTAAAATGGGGCGTGTGGGGACTCTTGGAAGAGGCGGGGAGGGGCCAGCCAACAATTTAACTACTGGTTCGCTTGAACCGGCCCGAACCGGCTGAATCCCACCACTGGCCGAGCACAATGCAGTAACAACAGCATCTGGTTTGGCTGCCTATCTGGTTCTTTATTAGCCATTCGATGGTTATGCTCTGAGATTACAAGTTTGATCCAAAATGATAAATTTTGTGCAGGGAAGTGTGTGATAACAGAATCTTGAGGAAATACTTTCCACTCTGAGAAATTTTGCTCTACTCTTTATCATCAGCATTTGATCGTAACAGGGCTTTCTTCTGTAAGCAGAATTTAAAATATCTCTGAGAAGTTCTGAAAACAAATCCTTTGAACTAAACCCCCCATCTACTTTTGCTTTTTATTACAGGGCTTGAAAGGGTCAAAGGGAGATCAAGGAAGCTCTGGACTAGAAGGACAGAAGGGAGAGATTGGAGAAGTGGGCATGATTGGTTTACCTGTACGTCTGTATCTAATTTTTTTCATTCAACTTGGTTGGCAACTTCTAACACAGCATTTCTCAACCTTGACAACTTTAAGATGCCTGGACTTCAACTCCCAGAATACTGGCTGGGGAAATCTGGAAGTTGAAGCCCAGGCATCTTAAAGTTGCTAAAGTTGAGAAACATTGTTCTAACCACTCCATACCATTGGGTGACATCCCTAGAGGGGGATGTGCCAAATAGTTTCTATCTATGTCGGACTTGGGATTTTAGGGAGGGAAATATGCATGGAAGCAAAGTGGTCTTATTCCCATAATTAAAACAATCCTAAATCCAATGCTAGCCTACAATAGTGCTACTAAAGTACAGATATTCCTCGTTCACTGACCATTCGTTCAGTGACTGTTTGAAGTTACAACAGCACTGAAAAAGGAGATTCACAACTGTTCCTCAAAGTTGCAGCTGACCTAGCACACCCCACAGTCATGTTTATGATTTGGGTGTTGGCAACTGGACCACATTTTCTATGGTCACAACATTCTGTGTACATGTGATTGCCATTTGCAAGCTTCATAGTCCAACAAGCAAAATCAGTGGGGAAGCCAGCAGGAAATGGCAAGTCACAATCATCTGATGTTGCATTTAATCACCCACGATGATTTGTTTAATGACTGTAGCTGATACTGATAGAACTGATGTTGTAAAGTCACTGCAGTCACATGACATCATGCTGAAAATCTTGCTGCTTAACGATGCCAGGCCTTATTGTGGTCAGTAAATGAGGATTACCTATACTGTGATTTTGATACCAAATTGCAGTGGCAGATTTTTGCCTCTCTTTTTTTCTGGCTTTTTGCTTAGCAACCAAGTGTAGAATTTTCTCACCATCTGAATGGTGAAAGTTTTTAGACAACAGTGGCAGGGATTTTGAGTGACCACTGCTCCTTCAGTTTTCAGTATTTTGCTCCTCTAGAAAGACAGCAGCTGCTGCAATTCTCAGTTTAAAAGCAGAAACCTTTGCATCTCTTGTATTTTATTCTTAAGGCTCTATTTTGGTACTCAGGTTTTTTTAAATTCCACTTCCTAATAAAGTCAATACCATCTGGAGAGGTTCCAAAAACTAGTATATAAGAAGTATACAATACACTTTCATTTTCCCCTCTAATTTTTTCCCCTTCTCAATTCAAATTCCTGAGATTGATTGAGTTGACACAAAATCTCTTTTTTTTGGCAAATCTGCATTCTGCGATATAATTTGAGCATCCTATTGCCCACCAAATATATCTATACGTATAAGGGGATTCTGAAAAAAAATGGCAATGGCAAATACAAGTTCTTTGTTGAATAGCTGGAGAATACTTTGTATAAGGCTGCATTGGTAATTTATTCCAGTTTAAAATAACTTTTTAAAGGTTATCTTCCAGATATATGTATGTACTATATTGCTTGATATTTCCTCTTCAAAACCTCTCCAGCTAATCCCCCCGGTCTTTTTCAGAGAGGGACTTAGAAGATCTCAGAGGGAAATGCATGGTGGTGAGATAAACTGTTTGGCCAATTAACAGTGTGTCATACTTTTCTTTCATAACTTACAGGGCCCCAAAGGATTGAAAGGAGAGCAAGGAAACCCTGGAGTAATGGGACAGAAAGGAGAGATAGGAGAAATGGGCTTATCTGGTCCACCGGTATGGTCTGCCTTCAGTACAAATTGGGTTTTTGTCAAATAATATCTAATATATGGCTGCTTATTATTGTAATCTGTAATAGAACAAGCATTTTTTTTACTGCTGAATTCTATAGATCAGGAGCTTTTGAACTTTTGCTAAGGAAGCCACCCTGAGAGACTATTACCAGGTTTTCTTTTACAGCATAGGTAGGCCGTCTGCTCAGCCTTCACAGTTACACAGATTGCTAGGACAGCCATCTTCTCAAGTTGTTCCTCTTAACCATATTACACCTCTCTCTGTTTCTTTTTCTGACTCACATGCAGGCACTCAGCATATTTAGACACTATTCACTCAGCTTTCCCCCAGACATTTTAAGCAGGGCTGTAGAAGGAAGGGGAAATATGTGAGACTCCCCCTGAACAATTTTTTGCTTTTTGGACTGAGGGAAGCTTATTTCCTCCTACCTATATGACAAACACCAGGGAAGTCAGAAGATCCAGGCAGTTCAAATGGGTACAAACATTTATTGCAAACTTTAGCTCTGTAGAAGAATCTGAACTACTAATGGACCAAGCAATTTGGCAGTAGATAAGAATCAGTGGAATTCAAGGTGGGCAGGACTTAGATCTCTTGTGGGTGCAAAGAGACTCAAAACTGATGATGTGTTTGACCCCTCCTCAGGCTCAGCCTGGTCATTACCTATGCTATACTTCTCAAAACTTGATTGTAGGAGGGATAAGGCCACAAATACTGTCTAGTGCAGACTGCATATTTCTCACTGCCATTAGTGGCATCAAATCATGAATATAACTTTGGATTAGGTAAAAAAAACATGGATGGTAATCCTAAAGCTAAGTATCATCTGAAACACATAGGTTGCCCATTTATAACTGGGGCTTTCGTTTGAAGCTTTTCAGATGAACTACTTAATACGCAACGATAATTCTGTTCTACTATTATGATGAAACTTTCAGAATCTATACAATCCTGCCTTTTATGCCATTCTCTTTTTGTTTGAAGTCATTTATTTTTCTTATAAATTGATCTTGGCACCCAATTGAATTAAAGTCCATTTTTTCTTTCTCCTTTCTGTTCCAATATAAAATAAGGCCAGATCTGGGAGTAGAAAGTGATCAATGTAAACACTGGAATCAAAGAAGCCACGATCATAAAAGGAACATTCCTCGATAAAGAAGATGTTTCAAAATCATTTTTGCGACTTAAAAACTTATAAATGTCAGACATGTACAATATGGATGTGTTTACTTTATTTGTTTAATGTACTGTATGTTGCTGCCCATCACAAGTACATGAACCGAGGTAGCTAATCATTAAAAAGAGAATTAAAACTATAAACAAAATTATAAGTAGCATATATAGCTGTCGAGCAACCAACCTACACATTACATCAACACCAACAATCCTCCCAGTTTGCATAAACAAGAAATGGGCTCACCCACACCCATTTACGTTTATCTTTCATCTTTTTTTATCTGATGGCGTTATGGAAATATGCATGCATATTGGATTTGGATGTACGTAACACTAACTGTACTGGAATCACATACAGTATTTTCCCTCTAATAAATCAGTTTTCAGTGAACCCGCTTGTTAGATATTACATCAGTACATTTTATACTGACTACTTCACTTTTCCACTCTTCATATGTTAATGTTTTGATAAAAGCCACTACAAAGAGGAACTATGTTAAAAGTTGATATAAATATGTCATTGTATTTGTAAATTATAATAAATCTTCTACCCTAGAGAGCCATATGCCTTAAGAGGAGTGAAATAGCTTCTTTATGCAGTTATGGGGTTTGGCCCACCTGTGTTGATTCTAGTTGGCCAAAGAAACCAACCATTTGATGATGATCAAACTATCTTTGCCATTCGCTGTGGAGACGTGACTCCCTTGCTGATAACAGTATATTTTAGAGAGGTTTTCCCAAACTGTGTGATTATCTGGTTATGGATATAAGAGCCAGGAGGAAAGCAATCTTTCAAATAAAAAATCCTTCTCCTGAAGACTAATGGGATCAGCTCAAATAACACTTCCAGAGAAAGCAAAGTGACTTTATTTAGAACAGTGGTTCTCAACCTGTGGGTCGCGACCCCTTTGGAGGTCGAACGAGACCCTAAGACCATCGGAAAACACATATTTTCAATGGTTTTAGGAATAATTTTATGGTTGGGGGTCACCACAACATGAGGAACTGTATTAAAGGGTCGCGGCATTAGGAAGGTTGAGAACCACTGATCTAGAATTTATCTAGAATTAGAGGGAGATGGCTCAGCACTTAAAAAAACTGAGCTTGTCAGTTGGAAAGCTGTCAACCCGGGTTCAAAACCTGAGCACTGTGCAACAGGGTGAGCTCCTGTAACTTGCTTCAGCTCCTGCCCACCTAGCAGTTTGAAAGCATGCAAATGAGAGTAGATAAATAGGTTCTTTGGTGGGAAGGTAACAGCGTTCTAGGTGCCACATGATCACAGAAATGTCTTCGGACAATACTGGCTTTCTTGGCTAAGAAACAGAGATCAGCACTGCCCCCTAGAGTCAGACACGACTGGACAGAGGAAAACTTTATGTTCATCTAGAACTATCCTCAGATATTATTTTTATTTCTTATTACTGTTTAGGGTATTGATGGACCTAAAGGAGAACCTGGGACACCCTGTGAGCAAAACCTTGTAAGTTGTCACCAACTGACTATATACTTTTCAAATATCAAGTTACTATCAAAATATGCCAAGGTGCAAAATTACAGCCTTGTTATAGGAGCAGTAGTCCAATTTTCTGTAATAAATATATTTGTGTGCTTGTTTTGAGCATGTGATAAATAAGGTAGTTGGGAAAAAAAGTAAAATGTACAGTTAAAATGTAATTAAAATACACATAGAAGTATTAAAATGCTCATTGGTTTCACTGAGTCTTCAAGGAATTTAAGGGTGTTTTCGTATCTGGAATCAAGTCATTTATTTGGAAATTATTCATTTAAGTTGGATGGCGACGCTGCTTACATTCAAGAATAGTTTACTATCATAACATAAGGCTGGAGATTACCACCTCTCCAGAGATTGTACAACTACAATCTTTATGACTGTAGTTACCAGACACAGAGAGGCTAAGGAGCCATATATTCTGGTCTTTTTCACAAGGTGGTAGATGTTTTAAACTGCAATATGGCTTTAAGGTAGGAAACAGTAACTATCTGTTACTTACTGCAAAATAGCCCGAGGTTGTGTGATAAATTTTCAACAGTCTTGGTTAGAAAGAGCTTCAAGACCCACAAGAAGGTAAAAAGCCACAAATTGTCCATCTCTGATGCAGTTTTGCTTCACATGTGTGAAATTCCTGTCTAGATTGTTGTATGCCATGATTGTGCATTTCTGCTGTTTTCTGGCAGGCTTTATTGCTGAGTAGAACTTGTACCCATTGAGTATTTCAGGAAAAATGTACTCAGAAACGCAGTGTATGATATTATAGTAATATTGCAATTCTAGGAGTAGAGATGGGTACCCTTAAACCTGTAAACGTTTGGTGCATCATGGGTATACAGAAGGCTTTGCAGAAAACACTATACTATACCCAGACTCACTCTTTAGAGGAATAACTTTAAAATATTTTCCCCATCTATAATTACTGTGCTTTTTCAATGATGACATCCTGCTTTTCATTTTGAAGAGTTATCTTTCTTCATGTGTGGTTTTACAGTTCAAATTTGTAATGTCATTTACATATGCAGATCATACCTGAACCAGGGCCTCCTGGTGTACCAGGTCTACCAGGTCCACCAGGTCCTATGGTAAGTGTTCCAGAACCTTTTTCATGCACAAGTAGCTTGGCTGAGCTATTGACAACTCTGCAGTTTATGTGATACCCTCCCCCCAACCAAGCAGATCTCTTTGAATAAAAACAAACAAACAAACCTTTGATGATCATTGCAAGCATTTACAGATAGCCCTCGAGTTACATCCATTCATTCAGCAACCCTTCAAAGTTATGACATTGCTGGATGAATGGTAGTTACAACTGGTCCTCAAATTCTGGCCAGTGCAGTGCAGTCATGTGATCAATTTTGGGGCACTTGGCAACCAGCCCACATTTACAGCTGGTTGCAGCATCCCATGGTCACTTTCTCCTGTCCTACATAAACTGCTTCTACTTCAAGTCCCTCCACCTGCCTATCTCTTGCCATATCTGACTTTTGGGCCACCCTGCTTGGCTTGGCTACCTTTGCCACCCTCCCGTCACTGCCTCCTGCTGACCTTCGCCATCTTCTTCCCCCACTGCTGATCCAAGTTCCAGGGGCTAGACAAGGATCCATCCTCAGGATACATACAGTGCCAAAGGACAGTGGAGCTTCATCTGTCAAAGAGAGCTCACCAGGTCCAGCCAGGGAGGATGCAGCAGGACATAGCTGGCAGAGCAGGATTCTAAGGAGCCCATAGACCACGAAGAGGACAGTGCAATGCTCCAACAAGGCAGCAACAACTCCCTGGGCAAAAATGGCAGTTGTTCAGGAGGTGCTTTTTGTGTGATGGTGGAACTGAAAGAAGTAGTGAGATGAGGGCTTCACAGAGGCCTTCACATGAAGAGATTCACAGAGGCACACACTGCTCAGCTCATTTTGAAGTGTTCTTAGGGAACTGGCCTGTGGACTTCAGGAAGGGGTGGCAGCAATCTCAGTGCCAACTGAGCATACCCATAGACCAGTGGTGGGATTCAAGTAATTTAACAACCGGTTCTCTGCCCTAACGATTTCTTCCAACAACCAGTTTGCCAAACTGCTCAGAAAGTTAACAACTGGTTCTCCCGAAGTGGTGTGAACTGGCTGAATCCCACCACTGCCATAGACTCTGTTTGCTCAGCCTAGCCTTCTTCCTGCAAGGCCTCAAAAAAGGGCTTGCAACTTCCAACATGAGCTTTACTACTTTACTTACTGATGGAAATGCTAGGCAAATCTTAGGGTCATAACCCAAGATTACTTGTACAAGTAATTAATAAAGATTACTTGTACAATGCAATTGTACAAACCTTCCTGAATTAAATGCCTATTTATGTATGTGGACTGTTGGGCAAATGTAGAATGATACCCTCAACATTTGGGAGCCAAACCCACCTTTTAACATGTTTTTGTTTGTTTGTTTTGTTTGTTTTGGTGATTATGAAGCTAAACCTTAGACTGATGCATTGGCTTAGAAATATAATTAAATATTTATTATCAGTTTCCCATGTATCTGAGAGATAAAATTAGGAAATAGTTTTGAATACAAGATGAAGTATTCCTGCATACCAAGGTAACAAACACTTAGAATTGAGTTTTTAATATTGGGTATTGCTAATAACATTAACAGGAATGAGTAATAGGGCCCCACAAATATTGATGTAAAACTACTTTGTTCCCAGCAAGTATAAATTATCTTGGAAAAATCTGGGATTGGGGAAATTCGGCTTTGTAATGCTGACATTTTAAACATAAATGTTTCAAACTTCCAATATTATTGTGGAATATTTTACAAATGAATACTTGTTGTCTCTAGGGTCCTCAAGGAACACAAGGACATAAGGTGAGTGCTTAATAGCTAAACCTGGGACAATAGTACATATATTTCCACTAATATGTGTCACATTGATGGCACATATATAATAATGCATGACATCACTTCATTTTATTTATTTATAAAATTCCCAAAGGAATATCACTTGCTGAGATATTTTTCCTTCATCCCTTCATCAGCCCTTCTATGAGTCTATAATTTCTGCACATAGGTCACACTCCATTCTCTCCATCAAGAACCCCCTTTAAAATTGCTACTTGGAGACCCTGTATATGCATGTATCAATAGCAGTTCATGGAGCTATAGGCCACCTGAGGATCCAATTTTTATGGCCAAGCTCTTCACCCTGTCCTGGGGCAGTGTTATAGATTATCTAATAACATGACCTCAAAACTCACTTCCAGCTTTCAAACCCAAATGGTCTACAAAGACTGTTTGGAATAGTTCAATTTTTAGTCTCTTCTGAAAAGGACAAAAGAGTGAGCAACTATTGTCTCAACAGTGAGGCTGTTCCAAAGAACAATGAGAAAACATCTTCTCATTCCACATAATCTTCAACTGCACTGAAGCACCTTCAGTGAGAGAAGGGACACAAGTGGATTACAAGTAGATATAAATCTGTAGCTTTAAAAAGGTCTTATTTTCAAATGTTCTATTGTTATCTTGCAGGGGCCTCAAGGAAGTCAAGGACAAAAGGTGTGTCATAAAAAGTTTTAATCTATATATTGCTAAACCTCTCCTATCTATTTATCCGTTTCAACTTCAATGAGTTGAAACGGTGCATCACAGGGCAACCATTTTTGAATCAAGGTACCTCAAATCTGCTAACTTAACAGAATGCATAGAAAATCCAGGACCCGTTTATTCCTGGGTGCCTGAAATTTCAAAGATCTTCAAACCAGTTGTATTTGCATACTTGTCTCCATTGCAGAATTGCCACAGGCAGCTTCAATCATGAGATTGTGATTTCTGATGCTCTCTGCCAGCTTCCCATATGCAAAGTCAGTGTAGAAGACAGCAGGAAGTTAGAAGTCACTCCCACTCACACTATTTTTTTACCTGTCCATGGTCAATCTTTCTACCTCTATATTGACAAACAAAGACATAACAGGTCATGTGTTGTCTTGTATATTTTATAATTGTAAAGTGGATCTTGAATGCAAGAAGAAAACCATAGGCATTGAGAAGTTAATTTAAAATATCACATTGATTTGAAGAAAAAGTAGGCAGGCTGTACAAGTATAAACTATTTTATTTAGATGATCAATTCTGATTATGGATTTAGAAGGTGGAATCAACAGCAGTTTATTTCTTTGATAAAACAACTTTTGCAATAAGTTTTCAAAGACATTTTTCAAGAAGTCTATGGAAACATTCACCTAAATCAGGAGGACTCAAATTGGGGGAATATCTTACATAAAAATCCAATTTCAACCTGTTCTGATGCAAATACCCAAAATCACTGTATATTTAGCATAGAGTTTTGAAAGCAAGCATTAGGCACATACATCCCATCATACTTACAAAGGAGTCTTTGGTCAGGAATAAGAGTGTTTGCAAATTCTTCTAATTTTTTTCTCTAAAGAAGGATTTCAGTTCTACAGTGCTAGGGAGCACGCCTTACATTTGTTTATTTCCTAATAAACAGTCTTGAAATGTATTAAATGTTGGAAAAACTAACAAACATTGTGGAATGACTTTTTCTCTCAGGTGTCAGTTGAACAAAAACACATTGATTTATACAGGAGTTTCTCTACTGACTATATGGAGATTATTTTTGTTGCTTTTTTGTTGGGGGAAGGTATGTTTAGTTTAAGTGAAGACAAAATATTAATTGACATGAATTACGTATTTTCAATAGTAATTTTTTCAAGGTACATTGTTATAACAGGAAACTGAAAAAAAGTGCAAATTCTTTTCCTCTAATGAAGAAGAACCTTTTTTTTCCCCCTTCCGTTCAATCGTGCCTGATTCTCAGAGACTGTCTGGATAAGTCCTTGCAGCTTTTTTGGAAAGCTTTTTTCTTTTCAGAAGTAGTTTGCCATTATCTCCTTCCTAGGGCTGAGTGGGAGTGACTGGCCCAAAGTCACACAGCTGGCTTTGTGCCTAAGGCAAGCTAGAACTCCCAGTCTCCCAGTTTCTAGCCTGATGCCTTAACTACGACACCAAACAGGCTCTCTGAAGATAAAATGAAGAGTTGGAAAAATGGCAACTTTTCTTAAAGAATATATCATTTTACATTTCCCTTGAGAAAAGTGGGTGCCGTGCAACTCAATGCAAACGCAACTGATTTATGAAGCAGACATAAGGCAGGCTATTAAATAGCACGTGATTATTTGAAAGTCTAATCAAAATACTTGTTTTCCTTTTAAGGGCTCAGATGGTTCAAAGGGTTCAAAAGGTGAAAGTGGCCATAAAGGTGAAAAAGGACCCCTTGGGCCACATGTGAGTAACAGAATCTTATGAAACCCGCCCAGTAGAGCAGAGGAGATATCCCAAACCTTCCTGATAATTTTAATTTTCTATAGGGTCCTCCTGGCACTCCTGGACTTATTGGTTTACCAGGTACCAAAGGGGAGAAGGTAAGAACTGAACATTTTTTTAAAAGATCATTAAAATGCGTCGCTCGTTCTTAATGTGCTATAAAGTTACTTACATTTTGGATATACCGTTTCCCCAAAAATAAGACCCTGTCTTATTTTTTTTTTGAACCCCTAAATAAGTGCTTGGCCTTATTTTCAGGGAGGTCTTATTTTGGGGCGCATGGAGAAAACTAGAGGAAATGGCGGGGACTGGCTGTGCATGCGTTTAAATATTTTCGGGGAGGGCTTATTTTCAGGGGGGCTTATTTTAGCACATGTGCTCAAAAGCCTGATTGGGCTTATTATCAGGGGATGTCTTATTTTCGGGGAAACAGGGTATTTAGTATACCATAACAGATTAAATCCTTCTGTCATGAAAGATCATTGGTCATTTGATTCTGCCCAAATTCTTGTATCTACTGAAAGGATCTACATTTTTAGAAAGAAGGCAGCTCTGTCAGGGAAGCAAACAGTTGCAGTAGGGACAACACCGATTCTCATAGGTTTAAATTCAGGGATGCATTTTAGCCAGGTCGCCTAAATCAAATATAGGAGAAAATCTGCTAACTGTGTTTGTAATTTTTTTTTTAAATCTACAAAAATAATTAAAAACCTTTTATCGCGTTTGCTTTCTTTTTGCCTTCCTAAATGACTGATGAACCTAAAGTTATGCTGAATAAGGGTTTGCATTGTCCTAATACAATACATGGAAATTAGTAGGAGATAAAATAAGATACTGCTTAATTTTCCCATTGAGGCTAAATCTACTAACACACCCAGATTCTGTATTTATATATATATAAATTATAGACTTAACGTAACCCAGTTAATGTGCCATTCCACTGTCATCTTATCAATGTTCTCCGTTTCTCCTTTTTAATAATGCAGGGAAAGCCAGGGGAACCAGGATTAGATGTAAGTAATCAATAATTTACCTACACAGTGTCATTAGTATGTTATCAAGTAATATAGGAAGTAATTCAATTCCAAGTTCCCCAACTTTCTGGCTTTGTGGATCGATGGGGAGGGTGGAGAGGGGATGATTATGCATGAGTGACCGGCAAGCACACATGTGTGCAGCTCCATTTACGTGAGTGGTATACCCGCACACCCACCGCTCATGCAAATGGAGTGCACATGCACACACTTGCCCACTGCTCGTGAAAGTGGGGATGCATGCACGCTGGCCTGCTGTTTCCATGGCCCAGTTGCAAATAGCCCAGAGGTTGGGGACCCCTGATTTAGATAACCATTGGTTTGGTTAACAGCTGTGGTGTTTGCTTAATGATTGCAGATTTGCTTAAGGACCACTGCAGAAAAGCTTGTAAAATTGGTCACATGACTGACCTGTTTTATGGCCATTATAACATATGACCATAATGAGCAGGCTTCATTATGGTCATATGTTGAGGAATTCCTGTAATGCAATTAAAACCAGAACTGTTTGTTGTTATTGAAATGACTATTTATACTACTATTTATACTACTATTTATACTATGTAAAAGTAAAAAGTTGAGGTTTGATGTTACTATCTATTCTACTGTACCAAAGGGAGTCAGAAGTCAATGCCTTTTCTTTCTTTTCCCCCTCTTTTGTACACATTTCCTTTCCCTTTTTCCTCCCCTATCTTTTCTATTATTTTCTTTTGTATTTTTGTATTTTATATTATAAATAATAAAAAAGACCAGAACTGAAAAAGCATCAAATGATTCAAAGTACAAATTGTGCAAATCAGCGGAAGAAACAGTACATCATATAGTCAGCTCATGCAAGATCACACAAACTGATTATAAACAATGACATAATATACTTGTCAAAATGATTCACTGGAACATCTGTAAAATACCATGTGCCTGTAATGAAAAACTGGTAGTTAAAAAAAGTGATAAAAAATGAGAAGGTTAAAATATTGTGGGATTTCTGAATACAAGCTGATATAGTTTTGGCTCATAACTCACCAGATTGAACTGAAGTTGAAAAGGAGAAAGTATGGACAATTGATGTGGTAATACTAGGGAATCATAGAAGAAGACCAAGAATTGGAGATCACAAAATATCAAGATTTGAAAATTGAAATTGAAAGATTATGGCGTAAACCAGCTGTGGTGGTTATCAGCATGCTAGGTGCCATACCAAAAAATCTTGGACAGCACGTAGAAAACCTGTACATTGACAAAATTTTCATCTGTCAATTACAGAAGATCATATTGCTTGGATCTGCACATATACTAATTACACCAATACATTACAACATCCTAAATTATTGGGAAGTTTGATGAGTATGAAGGCCAATGTCAGCTAAAGTATCGGCAGCTGCAATTCCACATTGTTATGGATATAGTAACAATAATGGATAGTCCCGTGAATCCTTGGGGGTTGATACTGCCTCTTGTGGAAGGTGATCACATTGAAACCTAGATTGGATTTGGCCAGGGGCTGCAGATAAAGAACACCCATTTAAAACCCTGTTGTGCTCCAATGGAAGGAAAGTGGACAGTGGCTCAGAAGGTGTTGATGGCTCTATTTTGAGCTCCCTTCCTGGCCAAAATGGAGCTACTATTAAGAGATTGAAAATAATTCCAGAACCCATGTTCTGCCCAGTATTTCTACCTTGTTTAATTATGCTTTGGTTTATCAAGAAAAGTGGGTTGTGATTACTAGATAGGCCTTTTAATATGGGTCTACCACTTGTGGAGTTGTAGAAATGTTCATAAAGAATGACTCACTTTATGTCTCCCCTATATACTTTGAAATAACATGCAAAAAAAGTTAGTTTTTTGTTCTAACTATCCTCTGCTGCTTTTTGTCATTTTGTCTCTTGTAGCTTTATTTATAATATATATTATTATCATTTCTACAACTCTACAAGTGGTAGATCTATATTAAAAGGCCTATATATTATATTATATATATATATATATATATATTCTTACTTCTTTGTAGGGTTTATGTGTGTTTTTCTTCTAGCCAGGTTTTCCCTACGTAGCCAAGGTGTTTTTTTTGTAGCTCCAGCTCAGTAGAATCACATCTACTCGGTTCTGGGCTTTTTTCCTTTCTGACAGTTAGAGCTTGCTAGGTCAGTTAGAATATGCATATATATATGCATATTCTTTCTAGCCAGGTTTTACCTACGTAAACTAAGTTGTTCTACAGCCCTGGTTCTGTGAAATCTCATTCACAAGTTTCTGGGCCTTTTTTCTGCTGACAAACTGCAACACAGAGTTGCAGTTTGTCAGCAGAAAAAAGGCCCAGAGCCTATTAAGGCGTCATCAGTGAGCCACACCCACTTCTCAGATATCCTCCCTGTAAAGGTACAATGTGTCTTTTTTCCTTTTAGAACAACTTAGTTTACATAGGTAAAACCTGGCTAGAAAGAATATGCACATAAAAGCCTACGAAAAAGGAAAAAAGATATATGGATATATATAATGTTTATGCCTCCTTGGAAATTCATTGGGAATATATTATGACAGTGCTAAAAACATTAGCTTACAACCAATTTCCAACCATTTCTGACTTTCACAGCCTTTCTTACTCACATGATTGCCATTATAGTCAGTACACACTATCCTGTACCTGACCTGAATTTTTCACTCCCTTGCAGAGCAGATTGTAGAGGAATGGATTTACGAGAGAGCAAGCTGTTTGCTGTTTTACACCCAAAAGCAATGTGATGATGCCACCAACAGTGGGAAGGAGTCAGACAAAGGAGATTGTCTACAGAAACTGCTTTCTCCCCCTCCCCCCCATGCATCCACAACTCTGATCACATTGCTTTTGATGTGCATCTTGCTCTCTTGAAATCCCTCTACAAGACTCTCCACTTTGTGAGCGGTGATGGGAGGAAGGGGTCAAGCAAGAGAATTTTTCTGCCTACAGAAATTGCTTGCTTCCTCCTTCCCCATAAAACAGAGAGAAGGAAGAGGAAGAGACTACTGCAAGCTGTTTTGGTAGTGCACTCATGACTAGGCTCTGGCACATTTGCTTTGCTTTCAGTGTATACAAGATAGTAAGCAGGCACTTGAACATTCCCAAGGCAGGAGAGTGTTTAGAAAGCGAACAAAAGTGAAAAGTGTGAAACTGAGTGGTCTTGTCTCTTTCCAGCCAGAAAGCACAATCAAGGTCACATAATTTCCCATTTTAACAACCACTTAGGTTAGCAACAAGGTTGCTGGTCCCAATTAAGGTTGTTAGGCAAGATCTATCTGTAGTATTTACAATAAACTTTGTCCTTCAGCTGAATATTTGAAAAAAAGAGCTGTCCTAAAGTAGGTTATTCACTTCTGTTTTATAAATAAAAGACATAAACTGAAAGACAGCAGGATGCCTGAGATTAAGTTTTCCAGTTTTTCTGTTTGCTGGATTACAGTGGCTATCAATCATAGTTTCTGAGTAAATTAAAACTGAACTCTAAACTACACATGGTTTTGAATCGTAGATATCAGCCTTCTTCATATGGTCCCTATCATAAGGATGTCATAATGCAGTGCTGTTGTCCTGTTCATTGAGTTTGAGTTCTGCGCCATCTAGTGGCTTCTTAACAGACTTGGATATTATACACTTCAGAACCCCTATTAAGTGTATAACTCTGTGTGTGTGTGTGCACAAATCTCTGTGGGTTTGCAACCTTATGCATATACACATCAACACAAAAAAATGCTTCTTCTTTCCTCTGGGAATGATTCTTGGCTATACTTATTTGAAAGAAAGCAATGTGCTGTCTTTTGTTTTATGATTAATGTTATTCTTGTGTATTTGACTCTAAATGTTCCCATCTTATTTTTCTAGGGTTTCCCTGGCCTCCGAGGAGAAAAAGGAGAAAAAAGTGAAAGAGGAGAAAAGGTTGCTATCATTTCTAATTCTTTGAATCAGTTCTTGCCTTTTTTTTCAGTTCTTCAAAAAAGCTATCTCTGCACCTTTGTTCTCCCATATAATCTAAATGGGATTAAGCATAGACAGATAATTTATCATATTATATTCCTACAAGGCAGAATCTAGTATTTTGTACAAATATTACCCTTTACCTTAATGACCGACTCAACATATTTCATTCAAACAATTCACATAATTAAAATCATGCAAATTTTGTACTGGAAAATTTATATTTTTAATACACATATACACATTTTAGTGCTTTTTTATTTTATTCCCATACCTTCATAAAACATCTCTGTTCTAGGAAATTGTCTTATCAAAAACATATAAAGTTAAATACTCTTCCTTGATATGTTAATTTCCCATATATTTATATAGGAAAACATTTAAGAATGAATATAAATCATAATATAATTCATAGTTCTGTTAAGCCAACATTTTTATTTTTTCACATTTTAAACATTTCTTTACAAGTTACAGATATAATTTAGGCTTGACAGCACAGCATCTAAGATACTTATGGTACCCAGATTTAAATAAAACATTTTCAGAAGTCATAAACTCCTAGAATTACCAATAATTATCTACTATAAGAATATGTGTATGCTGATTTTGTGAAATTTTGGGCATTCTTTGTTTATTTGGCCATTATTGTTTGTTTATTGGTGGCCTGAAAAAGTTGCTAATCTTAATCTAAACCTTCTTTATCTAAATCTAAATCTTAATCTAAACCTTAACAATGTCATATATAAGGAAGACAGTCCTCTATAGTAAGAGAAGGCATCTTAATTTTTATTGAGCTAATTTCTTGGATCACTGCTTTGTATCCATTATTTATATCAGTCAAATATTTATATAGGAAAGGTCGGAAGCTGTGTCAGTCATTTAATGGAAATAGACAGAGCATTCTATTATGCAAAAACTAAGAAGAACTAGGTGCTAGCTGAAGGTTGAGACATTTGTCATTCAAATTCTTTAAGAATATATGTATCTTTTTATTTTAATGTCAACAGGGAGAAAGAGGATTGCCAGGCAGAAAAGGAGCAAAGGGACAAAAAGGAGAACCAGGCCCTCCTGGATTAGATCAGCCTTGCCCAGTGGTATGATTTTATTTTGGGGAAGAATATTCTTGATGTGTTTGAAAACTTTAGTATAAGAAGCAAACTGTTTCAAAATATTTTGGAGAGGCTGTGTGGAACAAAGTGTCTAAATGAATGCTAATACTTCTGATTATTGGCCTTTCTTATGCCACAGACTAGAATGTGCTTTTGCTCCCTAATATTGAACAGATGGCTAAAAACATCTCACAAGCCATCCTAAAAGCCACACTCCTCGACTGCCATTTTAGGACAATACCACATAAAGCTTTGCTTCATTAAAAAACAGACAGGCCTTTGTTGTTCCTCCTGTCACCTGTCAGTTTTATCCTGACTGTCCTGAAGTCTCTATAGCAAAAGTGGGCAGCTTAGCAGGCTGTGGTCAGCTTCAGAGTCCCTTGGCTGTGGCTTCTAATTTTGGTCACATCACCAAAATGCCATTTCCAATGACACCATTATTGTGGTTCCCTGCCCCTGCCCTCCAAAAATAAGGGTGGCAGAAGGAGTAGGAAGCCTCTGCAAGTCAAACTGCTTCCAATGTCCACTTTTTAAAACACCCAAAATCCCTCCCCAAAATGTAAGTCTTTGAGAGGAAATGGAACAGCTTCCTTCTGCTCCTGTTCCCTCCCTTTAAAACAAAACAAAACAAAACAAAAGAGGTTAGGGTTGAAAGAAATTGGACAGCTCCATTAGGTCATGGCACTTCATCACTAGAAGGCTTCTTCTCGGGAGTTGACCACTCCACCTATAAGGTTTCAGTCAACATCTGAATTTTTCTCTATTTCTGTTCCTTCTTCCTTTCCTATTAACCTTCTCTCCATTTTCAATTAACAGTTCATTTTTAAAGGGGAGCCAGGTTTACCAGAACTGGATGGTGTGGAAATGCTCTGTCCTTTGGTACAGTATCTTTCTCTTCCTTCCTTCTCCTGCATGACTTTTTCTGCTTGCAGATTCCCATTTTCTCCCTTCCTCCCAGCCTGAGTATATATTTTATAGCATCTGGTACCATTGAAAGACATAGCATTAAAGCGATAAATGTAGGTTCTCAAGCAAAATTTTCCCCAATGCATGCTCTGGAAGCAGCTTGACACAGCCTCCTTGGCATTCCAAACAAAAGCTAGGCATGGTGCAGGGTTGTTTGAGTCTCTGGTTTCTCCATTTAAAAAGATACCAAGAAGCAGAAACCTGAATCATAGTATTTATAAAACTATGCCAAATTAGGAGTCTCACACAGATTCCATACATTCCCAAGATCTTGCTATTGTATATAATTTTTGCTCCACACCTTTCTCAAAACCTTTCATTTGGGATTTCTGTACTCCCATCTTAAAAGTCTTCCGAAGTTTGGATCAGCATCCTACTACTTTGAGTATAGAATACAACATTCTGTAACACAGCCAGTCACAAAGGCAAGTCATTTGTTCTCTGTGTGTTTAAAATGTTTTAAAAGCTGCTAGACTGTAAGAACAAGTTGACTTGTAATTTCACACAGGATGTTGTCAAAGACAAACATTTAATTGACATGTTATATGTTGCTGCAGTAATACAAGTATACAGATCTGTGTTTTAGCAATAATATCCAGCCAAATGTTCATAATGTATGGCTATTTTTCCTTTGTGTTAATATTATGGGCTCCTTGATTTCTGCGGTACTTGCTTTCCTTTCTTTTCTATCTTTGCTTTGGCCCTGAGAAAGGTTTGATTGGGCTGATTGTATGATCCACAGAAATATAGCTGTCACATCTTAATAATTAGTGGGAAATGGGGATGATTCAAAGCGCCAGGACATTTTCTTCTTAAATCTAAATCTGGGCCATTTCAAATCACTCTTTTACTTCCTAACAAGCTATTTGCTTTATAAGATATTTTTCAATGTTGTTTGATCTCACCATTGTCCCTTTGAACAATATGTATCTTACTTAGTTCATTGAATTATTAAAGTTTGTATTGGTTGAACTATATAAAACAGTTAATGCTACATACAGATGCTCAGGACAAACTCTGAAAATCTCAACAAAATCCTGGATTGGGAGGATATTCCAACTCACCTCTTCCCAATTAGGTCTGCTTTGTCAGTCCTGTCTTCTGGTCTCCTCCATCTATATCAGGGTTGACTTTTTTTTAAAAAAAAAACTCAGGTCTTCTCCGATTCCTCAGTCAGAGGAATTTTGTAATCAGTGATGGATCAGCTTTAGTGGTTGCCATTAAATTACCCCATCAGATGCTTAGGAGAAAATTGCAAAGTCTAAAATCTGATGTCAAGTTCCATAAATAGTTTCACTTACTGTATTTTATTCCAGCCTTTTTTATCTTAGATGCCACAAGCTTTATGAAGCACATCTTGTTTGTGCAAAATTGGTTGAGGGGATTTTGAGCATGTTGTGCATAGCTGTTCTAATGTTCACATAGCTACTGTATCGTGTGTCCCTCCAATTGATAGTTGTAAACTGAAAAGATGGACATGGAGGATAATTTTAAAAAACCTAAGATAATGCTAGGATTTTCCTAAACATTGCTCCCTCTCTCATTTTAAGGATATAGCCTTTTAAACTTCTGTTAGAACCTGCTGTGGAGTTAAATTCAATGGTACTTCCTACAGACTGCACCGGTGGATATAATTTAGCTACAATATAGCTTTTCCTATCTCAAAGATTCATGTGATTCCATAAATCAAAACACCTTGAGAAAATAAATGTGTGGGAGAATCCAGATATTTGATTGTTTTAATGGTTATTAACTAATAGAACATTGTTCGTTCCGATATACTACTTTTCTTCAAACCAGCACATGATTTCTGCATGGGTCTTCACATTAGCTGCTCTTCATGGTACTGTAGCTGCTGTAGACTTTCCAGAGTCATCAGGAATGAAATGGCATTTGTTTCTTAGCTGTTTTCCAATAATACAAAATGATTCTTTATTTCGTTACAGGGTCCAGATGGATTACCGGTACCAGGATGTTGGCACAAGGTATTATAAATATATTTTAGATTTTCTTTTTGTCCTGAATTTGGATTGTTGTTAAGCAAGAGCAATAACACAGTATATTCAGTTGTAAACAACTAAATAAACTGAAGTAAATCTGGATCTTTGTGCTTTCATAGCCCTGTTGATTTGCCCTGGGATGACCCATTTGTATTGCCTCCCATGTGTAGAATGGAGAGGCTCTTCATATGATTATTCTGATTTTCGGAAACCACTAAAGAAATATTCACTGGATAGAAGAGACTCTCCACTGCAGGTGTTTATCTTCCTCATAGGGAAAGTAAGGCTAATACATTGAAGCCTTGAATGCAGGTTGATTTTCTCATTTTCATAACAGATGAATAGGGCTTATGGCTGTGTATTAATATCAATATAAAAGAGGACTAAGTCCGAGACAAGCAAATACTTCCTATGTATGTCAAATTTCAAATTATAGTTAACAATAACAATTATGTGGAATGCATAAAAATCTGGCTTTACTTCAGTTTCAATATGTTACTTTTATATTTATTTTTAATGTACTTTTAACCATTTGTTTTAAGCAAGCCCATGAACTTGGCTCATGAGACTGGAAGGAGGGTTTCTGGCAGAGAAGCAACAACTTTCCTCCTTAACATAAAACTTTCTTTACCCACATTTTGATTCACATACATTGATCTTCATAAATAAAAGAGGCCTTCTAATTGCCTTGAGGTTGAAAAGCACAATTGTTCACTGTCAGAATAACAAGATTAATTTTGCTACTTTGCATGTGTTTTAGTACCCAGCAGCAAAACACAGATAGTGGGATGACTTCCACAACTCCTTTTTGTGTCCTTGCTATCTCCTCCAACTCTTTATCAAACATATAAATGACAAGTTCCTATTTCTAAAATATACTTTGCCATTTGTCTTTGAAAGAGAAATAGGAAATGTGCTTTTCTCTTTATGTCTTCATACATCTGCCGTGAACACTGAAAATATACCGGTAGATTCTTTATAATGTTTCAAGGCTTGTCTACGTGTCCCCTAACAGCACTTCAAAAATGCCTTGTTTTTAATGACATATTTAAAGAAACTACATTTTGATGAAACAGTCTGTGAGAGAAAAATGCCTGCCTGCCTGCCTGTTTTAAAACATGCATTGCTTTGTTTTATTTTGCAGTGATTCTACACGCATGGACTATGTAAATAATAGTGAGATAAATGTCTATTTTTATTATTTTTTTTATACAAAAAGAGGAAAAAGTCACAAAAACAATGTTTTCAACAGTAATATATTGATCTTCTAATACTGGATATTGTCATCTATGGACTTTTTAAAATATGAACATTCCTGAGAGCCACAAGACAGACCAAACACACACATACACACACATACACACATGCAGAAACACAGAAGCATTCAACATTCTAAAACAGTCAGGAATAGATGTCACTTGCTGCTAATGCTGATGTGTGGATTAACCATACTGAAAATATTTGCTTTATTGCATGGAGAAAGAACATCCCTGGACAATCTTTTTAGCTTTCAACTTTCTAACCCCGTTGCACATAGACACAGGCAGAAAAGGGAGAGAAAACGAAAAAGAAAAAAAAGATTCAGCCCTAGAAATTGAACAAACCTTGTGGATGAACGTAGGAAGAATTTCCAATCTGGAAAGGTAACACAACTATAGCCACACTTGTTGCTACTTGCTTCAACCTTGAAGAAACTAGTTTCATCCTGGGTCACTCTGATCCGTTTCATGACCCGTGGCTGCTTCTCCTCCAGAAGAAAGCATCATCTCTGGGAAAAACCCCACTTCACATCTTCAGTCTGTGACTAAAGTTTGAAAGATTCCTTTGTGGAACTTTATTTTACTGCAGAAATTCAAAAACATGGAACACTTCAACTATCAAATCTTTTTTTATTTTAATAAAATGAAGGATACGTTGTAATATTCATCTCAATGTATAGATTTGAAAAATAATAATTTTTGCTTTAAAAACAAAAATCCTATCATGGCTGCTCTCTTTTGCAAACTTGGAAAAGATACCCATTGTGCTGCTTATTCTTCTGGAATAACAGAACTCAATAAATACGAAAAATGTTATTCCCACCAACCCACCAGTGAGTGTTCATCACACCCATTTAATATGAATGTTTCTATTGTAATATATAAGATTATAAGAGCAACGTGAAACAACCTATTGTTAAAGCATTTGTAATTAACCTGGTGATAGAAATGGCTCTTTTCAGAAGGAAAAAAGCTGAGCTCCACATTTTATGCAAATTATATTTGTTACAGGTACATCTTTCCTGCTTCAAAAAAGTTTGCATAAAAAGCCAAATATCTCTATATACAACACTGTATTATTTCAGTCCCAAAACTGCATCTATGAAATTATATTAAGTGGATTATGACATCGTTCAATATAAAATCCATTCTAGTTATTGTAGTTATAATTCAGTTACTAATTCCAAAAAAATTCACCTTCCTCACAATGGTCTGGAGATTCTGCTTATAACAAGCAGAGATTTCTACAGTTTCCCACAGTCTACTAATATCATTGGAAGAAAGTAGTGTTCTTGCTTAGGAGAACATCTACATGGTCATTGTTCTCTCTAAGAGACATTGCATTGGCCAGTACTGTTCTTTGACTGGCAGCCTGCAAGACTGCCAGCTTACTTGCACAAAGGGAGCAGGGATTTTTGCCATTTGACCTTTCTGTATCAAGACCCAGAGGATATCTTAAGCCTTGGGAGAAATAGCAAGTGTTGCCTCTTCCTTTCACCAGAATTAGCCCATTAAACCAGAATTTCAAATAAAATATTGAATAGTTATATCAGTAGTCTTTCACAGACAGTAGCTCTCCCATTCATAAAAATCTTCTGGGATGCAACTGAATCACGTAACCTGCCGTAGGTTTCAAATTACAAGTTTTGATTATTCAATATTTTATTCAAAGTATAAAATGCTGAAGAGCTAAACAATCTTAAAAGATGCTTGTTTTCCAAGGTCACAAAGTTTCATGAACTCCAAAATGAATGCAAAAAGATTTGAGGAATAATTTTGTAATTTTTGCCTAGAAAGATGTACGAACAGAAATTATTCCTGTTTAACCTGATAGCAATTCCTTTATGGCTAATCAGAATATTGTTTGAAATTCTCAAGCACCAGCAAAAATCAGTTTAATTACAATGGTACAATTAGCATTAACATGATATAGAAACCAAGAGGCATTGTAATGTATGGTTTTAACCATACGTAGAAAGAAAGCATGTTTTTCCCTTCTCATTTTATCTTAGTACTAATTGGTTTTATCCTGATTCTCAGTTTTAGCCCTCATTCCCAAAAATAAATTTAAGGATGTCCAAAAATACTGATTGGCATTACTGATTTGAATTTATTTCAGGATGATGCAATGGCTCCCCATTTGTATAGACAGGGCCCCTATTCTATGAATCTTTGGCAGGAATGTCTGTTCTTTCTGTTGTAAATGTTTTTAAAGTACTCTAGACAAGCTTCAATACTTTAAACTACTGTACAAGTCTTCACAGGAGAAGATGCACAAGTTTCTTAAAATTTGAGATTATAAAGTTAACATTGCTTCACTGTGTTAATTCATTTGGTTGTCGAAGTTAGTTTATGGTTTTTTTGAGGCCTATATGACATTTAGTTTTGTATAGCATTAAACATCAGTTTAGTTAAATGAAGATATAACTGAATTAAGAAAGAGAAGTTAAATATTATGACTTCCTAGTCTTTCTCTTCCACTCTTACCATGGCAAGATATTTCATTCATTCTTATTTTAATACTATATATCTGCTACTCTTCTTAACAAAAATAGAGCACATAGTAGTTTAGGGAAAGTACACAGAAGGTATGAGGGAATTAAGTTCAGGCCCATGTTTTCAGCACAGAACCAGGAAATTCTCAAGATGGGGATATCATTCATAATGATAATTTTCCAACTTTTATGAGAACTCTAAAAATATCTTGTTAAAAACTCAATGCCTCTTTGATATTTCCCCTGTTAAAAGAAATCTTCCCTTTCTACACCGCTGTAAGGATTTGGCAAAAATGCATTAATTTTAAATAATTTTAGGTAGCACTGGTTGAGAGGTCCTGAGGCTTATTCTAGTTAAGAACTCCAACTCGGATTAGGGGGAAGAAAATGGCAGTTGTAAACTAATTTGACAATTAAAAAACAAAGCACAGTATGCTCAGCCACCTCTCATATGTCCTTGGATTACGCTCCCTACTTATTGTTATTAGAAAATTCTGGTACAAAAAAACTTTGCCAGATGGCCCTCCCTCAACATGTATGGTATGAAAGTCCATAGTGTCCTATATCTTCCAGAATATTTTCTCACACATTCATATCTTGCACCTATTACATAGAAACTGTAGCAATATATTAATAATTTAACAATTAATATGTATCACAGTATGAGTTTTAAATCTCATCCTAAGCAAAAGATTTATGAAAGAAAATATGTGGATGTTTTTCTGCCAGATAACTCTGAAATTAGTTTAATTTCATGGTAGCTAGTGAGATTCTTTGCATATTCCTTTCAAAATATTTATCAGTGTCACATTTTGTGGTATGGATAATTGTGGGGAAACTATTCTAAAGTGCTGAAAATAATAAAATGTTGAATGTTAGCAGGCATTTTTCTCCTAGAATACTCTCATTTCAGTTAATGAGATTAGTTTTTGGTTTAGCATTTAGTAATTTTTTAAGGAAATTGCATCAGAATAAAGATACAAAAAACAAAGTAAAGAAAACTACCAATAAAACACAAGCAAAAATGTTATGGAAAAAATGATTCTTTGGATATTCTTTTTAAAAAATTTATCAGGATGATTGTCTGGTTTGGGGGATCAAAACAATTAAAATGATGAATACACAAAAAAGAGGCGTATATAAAGGGATTTTGATTGCTTCATTGTGGCCATCATCTTGACATTTTTTAGCTCCTTCCTGAGTACATCCTCATTTAGCAGTACTATATATTTTAGTAAACGAAATGAGTCTTGAAAATAATAAGATGAATAGAAATATCCTACTTATTCTATGTAAGGATAGTTAAGTTGGCAAATCACCGTTAGATGTTAGCAGAATTGAACATGATAAACAAGTGGCATTATCTTGGAGAAAGAACTGTTAACTAATACCCAGACAACATATTTATCTCGTTTGTAGCACCATTTTACAGTTTTCATTTTTGGGGATAATCTTTGAACATATCAGCTTAATCCAACTATCCTTTATATAATATCCACATTATAGTGTAGTAACTCTCATCTAAAAAATGATATTGAATTACCCTGTTTCCCCCGAAAATAAGACATCCCCTGATAATAAGCCCAGTCGAGCTTTTGAGTGCATGTGCTAAAATAAGCCCCCTCCGAAAATAAGCACTCCCCAAAAATACTTAAATGCATGTGCAGCCGGTCCCTGCCATTTCCTCTGGTTAGGGTTAGGGAGACAGTACTGGAAATTAGGTAAGACGGCAAAAGGAGCCCCGTCTTGCTCCACGTGCCCCAAAATAATAAGACCTCCCCGAAAATAAGGCCAAGCGCTTATTTTGAGGTTCAAAAAAATATAAGACAGGGTCTTATGTTTGGGGAAACACGGTAGTCACTCAAAAAGTCTTCCGTTGTAATGTCCTGTGAAGTTATTAATATTGAAATATAATAATTATATACTTATTTGGTATTATCTTCTGGTAATACAGAACATACTCAGTAACTGACATTTATTGACTAAATTAATTTGGAGTGGTAGGCAGTTATATAAATAAAAACTTACCATATAAATCTCTTGATCTTACTTTACTACACAAATGAGCTGTAAAACATATACAGATAGAAATTCTTGACTTGCAGCCAATCAATAGATCTGAAAATGGGACTGACGACCAGATTTGAAGTTCCAATGTCCTCCCCCATGGTCAGAAGACCGCATTTTGGGCACTTGGCAACTGGCTCGTATTTAAAGCTATGTGCAGTACCCCATGGTCACATGACTGTAATTTAATATGCTTTTGCCAGAAACTGGTATTTATTTCCAATTTCCAACAAAAGCACCTTATAGTGAACAATATGGTCACAACATTTTTTATAAAATTTGGTCAAGTTGTGATGACCTGCTTTATGACCCTTACAATTTATGACCAAAATTGTGGGCTCTGTTACTAAGTCAAGGAGTAGCTTGACTTTAGCGTAGCTCTGAATGAATTAAGTATATATTATCTATTCATAACTAGCGCAAATTAATCCTCAATAAAGTCTTATTGAAGAAATAGAATTGGTGAAACATAATATACATGATTTAGATTCTCATGCTGAAGCGTCTACAGACTTGATAGCATTTAATTTGGGTTCTATCATGTCTATTTTCTCAATACAGTGTTCAGCCACGATTAGCTTTAACCCAAAACAAAGCGTTAAAAATCTTTTAAACCAATTCCAAATTTGATCTAAACTTCAACTACTGATTTATAAATGTAGGACTCAAATGGAGGGGAATGTCTCACAATCAATTTATTCATGGTGTTTTGCAAACCTTTTGCATTTATTCCACACATACATTGTTGCTACTACAAAAATAATTGTTCTGCCTTTTGACTCAGTTCAGCTGAAATTAGATTGAAATCCCACTTATTTGCCCTTTAGATTTCTAAGGAAACTTCAATATAAAACAATAGCTTAGCCCGACATGTGTGAGAATTTACTGCTGTTATTAATAACTCATCAGCACTATGCACTGCCTAAAGCCAGAGGCTGTTGGACTATAACTTCTGTCTACAGCATCCATAACTGGCTAAGGCTGATAGGAATTCAGACAGATTTGGTGAATCAGATCTTGTCCTAGCAGGCAGATCCAACAAGAGTTACTTGTATCACCTGAGGATCTGGTGACTCTCTTGAAAATAAGAAGGATGAATGGATGAATAGATGGATAAGCATCTCAGTTACCTGTTACTGAATCATGCTCTTCCAGATATCATTTTCTATTCCTGTCTGCTAGCAGACCCAGATGTTCAGGTAGTACAAGTCAGAGGACTGGCTTCTAGTCCAGATTTGAGAATATGTTAAGCAGCTACCTTGGCTATACCTAACTCATTACCAGCAATGCATGCAAGGGAAGTTATCTTTGTCTTTCTCCACCACACATTCTCCAAAGATAACCTGGAATGTCTTTCCTCCACTTCCCAAATCTCTCAACTAGATTTGAGAATTGCAGGAAGATAAATTCAGTCATGGTGGGTGGATACAATATCTAAACTGTGTCAGGGTAAGATGCATTAATTCAAACTTCCTTCATTTCAGCTTAAGCTGAATAGGTATAATATAAATGTGGTATCTAATTTTTTAAACTGACCATCTACATTTTATTTTCGTGCAAATAATCTCAAGGCATTAAATAAATTAGACACAGATACAAGGCAAACATAACTGTGAATGTAATTCATGTTTATATTGGAAACCCTCTTCTGAGATTCAAAAAAATGTAAAGCTTTGTTTCAAAACAAAGAGGGTAATATTTTATACAGCAGTCATATCTCACTGTTACTGATTTCTTTGTATAATTTCTAATGTGTACATGCCAAAAGAAGTGGTATATCTAGCTGTAATATAGGGGAACAATTATTTTTTAAATGAAGGCATTAATACAGTATTACTCATTATTAAGAATTGTACTGCTTGTTCTGTAAATTTTACAACAATCACTGCATTATCTGGCAGTGTATCGATTGTTTTGTGTTTTAATCTGTAGTAAGAGTTGATACTTGAACAGTTTTAAAATAAACTGCTTCTTGTACCGATTGTTTTCTATGATTATTCTATACTGCAGCATTTGTAACTGATTATATCTCAAGCAAATATTTCAAGTAAAAATAAGAGTTATATTAATTTTTTCAATCCAAAAAGAGTGTTATATTAACTAGGCCTATATTTCTGAAATAATTACTTGAAGATTATTTTATTTACAAACATTAGATAATAATAATCTTATATAGTAATAATAATTCAGATTATTCAGCCAAACAGCGCCAACCATTCTCCAAGGAGAATGATAGGGACAGCAGGCTTGGATTAACTTTGCGGTTTACATTTACCCAAAAAATCTTCAGCACAGCAGAGCACAATTTCAGCCACATATTATCCAATGCTATACAGATTGTTAGAGGGGAGGGGAAATTAAGAAAGATGGGGCGAGGGGGGGGAACCTAAAGCAGGGACAGCACATTCATTGCTTACAGATAGCAATAGCATTTAGACTTATAACTGATTCACAGCACTCTCTAAGCCAGTGATGGCTAACCTTTTCCCAACCAAGTGACCAAAGCGTGCACGTGCAAATGTGTGCATGCCTGAACCTCCAAAATGCAATGCATGTATGCCCTCCACATGCACCACGCCCATGCGCATCTGCCTCACATGCCACGCTGAGCCTGCATGCGCTTCCCACACATGAACCCCACCCCCCACGCATGCACAGCAGAGGCCCGAAGACCAGCTGGATGGCAGGAGGTGTGCACACATGCGCGGCGGAACTGAGCTGGGACGATGGCTCCATGCCCACAAAGAGGGTGCTGCGTGCCACCCCTGGCACTCATGCCATAGGTTCACCATCACAGCTCTAAGCAGTTTACAGAATCGGCATATTGCCCCCCACGAACTGGGCCCTCATTTTACTGACCTCAGAAGGATGGAAGGCTGAGTCAACCTTGATTCTCTCAGGATCAAAGGAATCGAACTCCTCGCAATGTGAGCCAGAATTCTACACTAGGATTCTAATCTCAGGAATCAGGATCATGTTACAGGCCTAATGCCTCTGCTGCTGTCAAGACTTAATAATCTGACTCTATCACTGGCACTGCATCTGTATAGCAGAACTTTGCGGTCTTGGTCTCTCTCCTGAATATTTGGCCAATTAACCCTGGAGAAGGCCAAATCAATAGTGAGACAGAGTATCAGGGGCATTGGTTGTCAAAATGACATCACTAGTGCTGCTGAATTCTATCGCCAAATGTTAGACGTAAGTGGGGTAACTACACAATCTAAACTATTATGGATGGGCTGTTTCCACATCTTGCTTTGTTGCCCTCTCATTAACTCTACTGGCGGGAAGATTTCATAGGACTCCTTATTTGCAGAGAGTTTGCTTTTGTAGTCATGTCCTTATATGGGGCCCTAAGATGTACTCACTTCAAATACAAAGGCCACACTGTCAATTTTATATTTATTATTTTTAAGGGATGCTAACCCCTCACTCTCACATCAGGTGGCCCAATATCTTCATCACGTTATACAACTGCAAAACTTTTAATTAGATACATTGTTTTATTTTCCTATTATTTTCCCTTCCCCAATAACAAATTATTGTGGTAAGCTATTTCTTTCCTTTATTGTATTCATTTTATTGTAAAGCCTGGTCAAAGACTATAATAAAGATTATTTGATTTGATCTGATCTGATTACACATAGAAAGAAAAAAGGTAAACCAGACAAACAACAGATCATGGAGGAAAACTAATTTAACCCAGAAAAGAAAATTGTTACCCACAGAAAACAATGGAGAACATTAACAGAGCTGGGATTGTCACTGTATCCCACACTGTATCCCCACCCACCCAAAAAGAATTCATGACTTTAAATAAAATTCTTACACAGTATAAACTGCTTCTGTTCTACAAATTCAAACCAAAATCACAATACACTGCTCTTATTTTTTACAGAGCAGTTTACCGATGAAATAGAGCAGCTTCTAGTAACATAGCACATATATAATTGGAATGTTTACACAACCTGCTATAATACATTTTGCTTAACAAAGATTTATTTGCTATTGATTAAATGTATACTACAGCATTTTAGCCAGGTATTCAAGGTAATTACATTTCAAAAGTCACCCGGAAGTGCTCTGGACTGCATATAAATCCTATTGCATATGTTTCCTACTCAATGAAGTAGCAATGGTTTTCTGCAGAGTTCTGGAAAATAAATGCAGATGGTTTAAGAGTTGCCTTAAAGACAGTGTTATATTGATATGATTCATTAGAGCAGAAACATCTTTTATCAAGCTTGCACAGACAAACAAAAATCTGTGCTTTAATGAACTCCAGAGGAGTTATGTTTTTACCAGATACAAAGCACTTGAACAGTTTTAAAGTGTACATAATTCTTGGACACAGTAATATTTTATTCTCTTGATTTTACTCATAACAATCTTGAGAGGTAGATAGACCGAAAGACTTTGATTGATTCAAAGTTCACTAATAGTCTTTTATTGGTTTTGTTAAGGATGGACTTCAATCTTAATGTCCTGTAACCGCACCTCAATTATTATATGACACTGGCTTCTCCTATGTTGAATAAGGTGCAATTGGCTATATTTCTACAACATACTAAACCTTAAACTGTTTTATACAAAGGTGGGCAAGGCACAGTATTCTAAAATTTTCTTCCAAAATATGGAGAAATTGCCAATATAGGATCACGAAATTTCCTTTTCATTCTTCCAAAAATGCAATAGAGGGGGTACAAGAACAGACCAGTTTTGTTAGGCAAATGACACTCATTTCTACCCTTGGAATGAACCCCTGCTCAGAAACCTCTCCCGAAATTCCAGAACCATCCCACGGTAACAAATTTCAACACCACAATTTTGGGCCAGTTGGTGAGATGGGATTAAAGTTCAAATAGAACCAGTTTTAAATGCTGTCTTCCATTTTGTTTTAATTTGTACATAAAGCAAGACCCTAATAAAACAAGAGAGAAATGGTTTTCATGCTAAGGTGTTTTCCAATTCTCTAAGTCACTGGCCCAGAAAATGCTTGCTGATGTTTTGCTTTGCTCTTGACTTAAGTCAAAATTATATGAAGCAAATATATCAATAAATTTCTGATCTTTGCCCAAAACAAAGCAAGTATGGTATCAACACAAGCAAATGTTAAGTAAGGCCACAAATATCAGGATAGACTGAAGTATTACTGAGAAATCAATTTTTGATAGAAAATCTGCCATTTTCCTGAATCCTCTGAGCTGTGGTGCAAGAAAGATGAAATGTTCCTCTCTGCAAATTAGTCTTCTGAATTGTGAATAAGGCATTAATTCACTTATCTTTAGATACACACTGTTTTTATGTATATGTCAAGCAGTCTTACGGATACCTCTCAAAGAAAATAAACCACCAAAATCCATGGTGCTGGGTTATTTCAGATACCAAATATGAGGAAGAAATTCCTACTTTAAAAAAAATCATCTTAGTGATACAACATAATGAGCTACAGTAGTCTTATCAATCCCGGATATATCTCACACCCACATCTTATATTTCCTGCAGAAAAGCTGGAAGTTTTACTGTGGAGGACAGCTCCAGATATACTTTCTGTTTAACCCCGTCCTACTTTTTTTTTTTTTTTATCTTCGTCAGCTTTTTGCCAGCCTGGAGCATTTCGGCAACTGCCATTTTGCTAAATCAGCCCAGCAAAGAAACAGGCAGTGCAACTCTGTACCGATCTACTCAAAAGTACGGTAAGTCGCCTCGTTCTGTAAGATTTATTTCCAGGTAAACGCAGAGAATTGCACCTTGAGTTAATGAAAAAGAACAATATTATCTGTTCACAAAACGCCTGTCAAATCGCCGAGGCAGATTATTATTTAGTTCTAGTACCTGCAGTAAAAAAAAAAAAAAAAAATACTCGATTCCTCTTACGGCGCTTGCTAAACGCATGGCCGTATAATTTATGTAAAATGCCCATTAGTCATGGGGTCTGACTATTATGGGATCTGCGCTCCAAGTCGTCGGTTAGGTAACGCAATCCTTGCAACCATATAGGACGGCTGCAAAAGATTACGAGGTAACCACGTCAGACAGTTTGCCAGGGCAGGGCAAGCGTGTTTTCCCTTCATTTTCCGCTTTACTGGTGAAAAGATGCACAACTCTGGGAAAGGTTACTTTGCTGCCTCTTGCAAAGATGCAGCCCTTCAACAGCAATATTGAAAACAAGGGAAAACTCGCCCGCTTGACTGCTTCTCATCTATAAACGGCCTTGAAACCGCTATCCGCAGGAGTTGGCAATAGTTTAAATCGCCTTCCCCCTCGTCCCGCGTGGTAGTTTACTCCAAATACAAACGACTCGCTTCCGGCCGCATAAATGTAGAATGGGCGCCTCTTTTTAAAAAGAGAAAAAACAGGCTTTTCAAGGCAGTTAGCTTCGACCCTCAAATCCTACCAAAATTAAGTAGCAGAGAGACGCGCGCTCCCTTCGCTTTGGAGGAAGTCGGAACAACTTTCAGCAGATTCAGTTTGGCTCAAGCTTTGAGAAAACTCTCATTTCCAAACTCAGCCCAGGTAGATGGTTAAAAGACGCAACTGGAGTCCTCCGCGGCGACCTCAGCTCCCCCGCGCTCCGAGTGCTGACCTGCGGAGAGAACGCAGGGCTTCGGCGTCGCTTAACCTATAGAGCGGTTTTGCCCGTGGATTCCCCCTATGCTAACCTTTTCTATCTCTACGGTTCCTCTCCCAGACAGCCATGAGCTCCGAGCCTCGCAGCCGCCAGCAGACTCTGGCTTTACGGAAGCAGTTCATCGGGTAGGTGCCTCGGCGGCGGATGCAAAGCCTGTCCGGCCTTGAAAAGACCATCCTGTGTCGTAAAGTGCCAGACGCCCACCCACCCGCTCATTCCGCAGTAAAGGGGGAGCCGCTGCAATACACGCGCGCTGCGCTTCCGCTGCTTGCGGGTTGGCGCGACGCCTTCATCTCCGGGGGGCGTCTTGCTGCTTCGGCTCTAAAGGCGGCAGCCGCGTAGATCCGCTATGGGCCCCCATCTACATGTTCACCCGTGAGATCAACCCGATTGCCCCGCGCTGCCCAGATTGATTCCTATCTCCGTCTCGAGCATTTCCCCTAGTACTCGGGTCGGCGGTACAAAATAGTCTAGCATCTAGGCGGCGTGATTCTTCCCCGGGGAACCAGCAGACGATTTCAATTTGTAATAATTATAATCGTGTAATTGAGTGTTTATCTATAATTTGAAAACCCAGTGGTTGGTTTGTTTATATATTTGTGGGTTAACGTAAGTAAACTTCATAACTACAGGCGTTTTGTCCTTCTACTTACAAGGACAGTTCAAGGTACATCTCTGTAAATCTTTTGCTGGAGGCACCAAAAAATATTGTTAGGGCATAATGACTGTAATCGGAATGTTTGTATTAGGAGTATGCACACTAAAAGCCAACCTGCAGTGCTGGCTTGGCTTGAAAGTTAGGGTCCTTTCATTACTAATGGCACAGTGAAGTATGGTCATAGGAGCTTGAAAACCACTACAGATCAGGCATCTCCAAAATAAGACCCACAGGCTGCATGCGCCCCTGGACAGCTATTCATGGGGCCCCACAATGTATATGATTTATATACATTAACTATGTTATATACGATATCTGATATGCAGCAAAAGACAATTCCTATTCACTCAGTAGCCTAGGCAAGCCAAAACGTTTGTATACCCAGGCTATATAGACAATAGAAAATCCCATTTCTATCCATCTTGTACTCATTGCATCCACCAAGCCTGGTCACTTGATTTCCTGAGAAGTCTATTGTGAAACATTGTCTCAGGATCCAATATAACTAACTGCCTGCAAACTATCCACACACACACACACCCTCGTTAATATAAGCCCTGTTCAGAAATATGTAAGTCTGTTAAAAGCACTAATCAAGAGGACTCAAACAGACAGCTTACTTCCATACCTAAGGCCACATCAGTAGGTAAGTCCATCAAGGCCAGTAGTCCTAAAAACAATTATTACTTCTGTGTTGGCTTGCCCCAAATACCAGTTGCTTGGGAACTCTGCAAGGGAGGGATATGCCTCTTAATGCAATGAGAATACCCCAGAGGCATTTAGTTAGTCACTGTGAGAAACAAAATGGTTCAAGAAAGGGTTTGCCCTGATCCAGCGGAACTATACTTATGGTCTTAAAACAAGTAATATTTTCAGTACAGATAGTCCTCGATTTAAAACCACAATTGAACCCCAAAATTTTGTATTACTCACTGTCACATCTCCTACAAATATGCATTACAAATGTCACCTCAACAAGTTCCTGACTTTGTGCTTCTGTTAAGACTTCCACAGATCAATTATATAAAGAATTGTATTCCGAGATACAATCGTGCTAAAAATGCTTAAAGTGACTTTTACTTGCTCAAATTACTTGCAACCAGGAATGACAAAACTCAGTTCAAAAACATTTTCCTTAGAATTTGATTAAAACGGATGGATTATTGTATCATTGTAGCTAATTAAATCATTTTTTTGTTTGATTTATTACCTCAAGTCTGCAATACATTGATAAAAATTTTAATATGTTCCAATTAAGTTAATTTTTTAAAAATACTTCCATTAAAGGTCATCCTGCAAGCTTTTTTTTCCAGAAGATCCAGTGAAGATTATCCAGGCAAAGGGCCAATATATGTATGATGAAAATGGAAACCAGTACCTTGACTGTATCAATAATGTTGCTCATGGCAAGTGTGAAATTATGTTCTCTTTAGTAAACTCTCTTAGGTCTAACCTGTGTAGTCAGGTAAATTTAACTCCAGTCCTTTCTAAACTTTCAAAATGTTTGTGTTTGATTCTTTCCTTTTCCATGGTTTAACTTGTCCATATCATCCATCCGCAATGGTAACTTTATGTGGCCTGTGTTTGCTCTCATAGATAGTATCTGCACCCATTCATTCACTTAATTCAAACCCTGTGGAGTAAGAATAAATATGCTAACAATGATTCAGAATTATTTAGAAAAATAAAGGCTATAGTTGATATTTAAAAGTTTGGGTGATCAAGACAAAATAGGAAGTCATTCTACTTTTCTATGGAAGTGCACCCCTAGCTGAAGTGACATCATGAAATTTTGCCTTTTGATTTCCCAAGATTAGGCTGGAAATAAAATAACTGAGGAATTACATACGTAGTCTTAAAACTGCATGAATGGTCACTGAAATTGCTATTTTCTCACCCTTATTTTTTTAGTGGGGCACTGCCATCCTGAAGTGGTCAAAGCAGCTCATCAGCAGAATCTACTGCTAAATACAAACTCTCGGTATCTGCATGACAATTTGGTGGATTATGCACAGAGACTTTCTAAAACATTGCCGGAGAAGTTGTGTGTCTTCTATTTTTTGAATTCAGGGTAGGATTTGTGTATTTATTAATCAATAGATCATACAGGCATCTTTGCAGAACAAGAGAACTGACATTTGTTATCCCCCCACGGAACTGTTTGTCAGGATAATCACATCTTTGCTTCTTTGGTATTTATATTACTTCAGTATTTGTTTCTTTAGTCAAAATGAATGAAAATGCATTTTCCATTTTTTGGGGGGGGGGGGGAAGACATTCATATTTTCCTTATTTTCTATAATCAAAAGGCTTTTTATCAAACATTTAATTAGCAACTGTAATGAAACACTGCATATAAATAAATGTAAAATTCTCTTTTAAAATTATGTTTATTGTATCCATATTTTTTTCTTTTAACCATTCAACTAAAGTTTATTAAAACTTACATACATCTAACACTGGTCATATTTCCATACCAGTATGTCCCCATTTGATACATATGAAACTACTCAGGTTTATAGATGACTGAATATGAACAATGAGAAAATCTCAGAATTTTCCATTACAGATCAGAAGCTAATGATCTTGCTCTGAGACTAGCACGGCAATATACAAAGCATAAAGACGTTATTGTTATTGACCAGTAAGTATATACAATGTTTTAAATACCATTATATTACTATGTCCAATTCAGCTAACAGCACCTAATCAACCTTAATAGAACTTCGAAAAACCTAAACGGGATCGTGTCCAGAACTTGGACAAGAAAATGCTGCCAGGGAATCTGAGGGATATAGGTTAGATTAGGAAGCTTTTAAAAAGTATGACAAAGGGGTATTAATCACTTCCACACTGTTCCCTAGAAAACTATAAGAACATGCTGTTATAATTATCAGAAGTTTAGTTTGGCTCAAGAATTTTTATTTTCTTTCAATAGTAATTGAAGTCACAAATACCTAAAATTTAACCTATATTTCATACTAAGACATATTTAGGTTATCAGTATTTTTTTAAGTTTATTAACACTCTTTTTTTTTATCTTGAATCTTCCTAGTCTTCCAAAAAGCCAAGATCAAACAAACTGAATTCCTAATCTAGGTACATCCATTTAGTTTCAAAGTACATGATCCCAAAGCCCATATTTTGAATTACAACTTGCATTTAACGTACATACATAAAGTAGAATTTTGAAAATGTATCTTTATGGGAACTGTTTGCTTTCTAGGACATCAGCTGAGATATGTAAAAGTATTATAAATTAGAAAGTAGGTGCTTCAGTTTGGCAGTCTGGATGTGTACAATTTTCTGGTGCTAATATTAAACCAAGGTAGAATTTATCGTATTTCTGTGGATTATTGTGTTTTGTTTTAAGCGCTTATCATGGACATCTGACATCTTTGATTGACATAAGTCCATACAAATTCAGAAATCTAGATGGCCAAAAGGAATGGGTCCATGTGGTAGGCATAAGAGACTATATTAACCCTTTTCTTGTTTATTTCCAATTCACCTAAAACCAAGAGGTCTAATCAGCTATTTTTTTGAATAGGCTCCTCTTCCTGATACATACAGAGGATTATATAGAGAAAATCATAAGGATCCAGCCACAGCATATGCAGATGAAATGAAAAAAATTATTGGCAAAGCACACCAAGAAAACAGAAAGGTAAAATTGTCTTTAAAGTTTCTGTATTTATCATTTTGGGTTTCTTTTTAACATGAATTTAGTCAGTTATCCAGTGTGCCTTTACAGTGGAGTTTTTTCTTCTGTCTTCTTTGTAGCAATTATGTAACAAGTCAGGAAATTTGGAAAAAAATGTGTAGTATTCAGCTGCAGCTTCATTCATTATAATTTTTTATGTTTTGCTCCAGACCAACTGTTTAAAATTGAGTAAAGTTCTTGCATCCTAAAGAATCTGAGTGGCAGAACACTTTTTTCTTTTGAGAAGAAAAAAAACACATTGTTGGCTATAACTCATAGTTCTTGGCAAGAAAAAAGTTCAAATGTACAGTTGTTTGGATAGTTAAGGTTTCTTATGTGTTATAGTAGTTATTACTCAACTGTGGTACCTAAGATTTCTGAATTAGAAGCTTTAATATATCCAAAAAGGCAGATACATGCACATATGTATTATGTATACGTCTACTAATTACATTATATACACTTTCAGTTTGCTGCACTTTTTGTAGAATCATTGCCCAGCGTTGCTGGACAAATCATTCCACCATCTGGTTATTTCCAAAAGGTTGCAGAGTAAGTATTCATATTTTTCTTCTACCTGTTTCTGTTTATTCTAAACAGTATTCATATATTTTCTGTTTAGAATAAACTTCCAAGTTTAAGGACTTTTAAGATGTTTAACTTCTGCAAGATCCAGTTTTAATTCCCAAAGATTTCAGTAATTAAAATTGAAATGATTTAACTTTACAAATATTTAATTTTCCTTGGTGGGATTTTATTTTTGGTTGCAGCTTAATTTTGGAAAAAGTCAATTGTTGGAGAGATTTGTTTTAACCCTAAATAAATTGTTCAGAAGTACTGATTTAATAAGATCTGTTCCATTTCTGCGTAAATATATTTCTTGTTCTTTTAATAGGCATATACACAAAGCAGGAGGTGTATTTATTGCTGATGAAATTCAGGTTGGCTTTGGCAGAGTTGGCAAACATTTTTGGGCATTTCAACTTCAAGGAGAGGATTTTATTCCTGATATTGTTACCATGGGAAAGCCAATAGGGAATGGACATCCTGTGGCTTGTGTAGCAACAACAAAGGAAATTGCAGAGGCCTTTTCAACAACAGGAGTAGAGTATTTTAACACAGTAAGCAGTCACCCACATTTTCATTCTAAAATGCATCTTAGTGTAGTTTGAGTGTTACATGTATTCAAATAGTTCATGCATAAGGTATTTACTGGATTGCTACTACATTATATAAAATTCTCACTGGCATATGGTACTTGTTTTTGGCAAACAATTCTGTGTAGAAAATTTATTTTTGTTTTATTTCTCCCTGCCATTCATAGTTTGGAGGAAATCCGGTGTCCTGTGCAATAGGCCTAACAGTCCTGGATATTATTGAGAAAGAAGAGCTTCAAACCCATGCTCTTCGTGTGGGAAACTTCCTTATGGAACTACTCAATCAACAAAAAGCTAAACATCCTCTAATTGGAGATATCAGGTATCAATTTTAAAACATTTACCATTTATTTAATATATGCAGTATATACTTGCCACATAGTTTCTTAGCACGATTTTTAGCAGTCCCAAATTGCACATATTTATTGTAACTAACTGTAACTTCATGTTTCACCTTGTTTTTACAGGGGTGTTGGACTATTTATTGGTGTAGATTTAGTACAAGACCAAGAGAAAAGATCACCTGCTACCAAAGAAGCAGAATTCATCGTAACAAGGTAAAGGTACTCTGAGATATTTTGTTTGCTTGGATATAGTTTAATTTATTGGTAGTGGAAGAGAGATTAGTACTTACTTTTTACCTTCTATCTCCTGAAATAATCTGTGGGCAGTATCTCCACGTTTCACAAGTGAATTACAGATAGAGAACTTAGTAGTTTGCACACCTCTTTTCCGTTATGTATGCAGAATTGTAAATGCAATGTACAAGAAGTTATTACGGTTCCCTAGATTCTGCTTTTCTCTTGGGATGTATCAATCTGGGAGCTCCAATAGTAGCTGCCAGATTGATACATCCCAAGAGAAAAGCAGAATCTAGGGAATCATAGTAACATTGTAGTTACTACCGTGTATAGCAATGTAGTATATTAGTAATGTAGTTACTATTGCAAATTACCAATAGTAGTTTGTAATCTTGAAGAATAGAAAATGCTCATTAGTTTTAAGACATGATCTGATCTCAAAAGAGAATAGTATTTGCTTCTAACAATTTATAAGGTACCTCTGGAACAGATGGGCTGGTGTATATTAGGTAACACTAGAATGTTCTGTACCTGGAAACCAGAGTTTTGCATCCCCCCCTATTTCCTCCCTAGATATATTTTCAGATATGTATACTGAATTTATCAACAGATAGCTAGTAAGTTTGATTATATATACTAACTCAGGATTGTTACATGTCTAAATCCTTCTGCTACTATGGAAAGAACAAACTCTGATAGTTTCCCAAGTATTAAGGATAGCTATAATATACTCACAAAGAGTACATAATTATCTGAGGTATATAAGAAAGGAATGGGAGAGATGAATTATTGGGTAAAATGGGTTTGTTGTTTAGTGTCCTTTTGGTCTTTGGACATGGAACTTAAATTAATATTTAAGCAAGAAAATAAAGAACAGCCCTCCTATATCCCTCAGGGAACCCCTTTTCCCAATCTAAGAACTGTATTCAATCACAGCGATCTCATATTTTGTGATCAATTTTTCAAAAATTGTGTTGAACCATTATCAAGCTGTCAACCATGAAACATGTTAATATGCTTCCCCAAATGAAAACTCCTTCACTATTAGTGTTATCCAGCTGATGCTTTAAGGGCTTCCCATTTGCCCTAAAGGCCTGCACCCCTCTGCTAGCTAGAATAAGATAAGGTTTTCCTGATCCTATAGGACAGGGATATCAAACTCACGTCATCATGGTGGTGTCACGTGACATATTGGGACTTTTTCCCCCCTTTACTAAACCATGGGTGGGCATGGCAAGCGCATGACGCATCTGGCCCATGGGCCACGAGTTTGACAGCCCTGCTCTAGGAGGATGAAGTAAGGTGTTTGTAACAGTAGACTCTGCCAGTCTGTATTCAATCCTCCTCGGAAACTTTCTGAACTGCTTGATTACATTTTGTGTTTCTTGCATCAATTCTGGAAGGCTTGCCAGTCCATCTGGTAGATTCTGACAATGTTGGGCATCTTGAGGGAAGGAGAGTGTCAACTACTGGGTCCATTCACTTAGTTCCAACAGGTCAAGAGGGTTTCCAGATCAGTTGCTTCCCTAGTGATGTGTGTCAGTGTTAGTAGGAACATATAGAGTAGGGCTGGAAGTTACAAAGCCTCAATTTCTTGTCTTGAACGCAGGAAATTTGCATTGATCCTCTTTGCTGTTGCTTTTCTTAAGCAAATCAACTCCAGGATATCCCATGCTGTAATCTGCTTTCATTTTAAACCTTCATAACCTGATAGGTTCATTCTGATCCTTAAGGTTCAACACCATTCTCTACTTTCAATTCCTTTTGGGAATCGTAAATAAAATGGGGAAAAAATCCTGACAGGAGTTACTTTGATGGTACTTTATAGTTCTGACATTTTTGCAAATTCTTGGTGGCTCAGAACATCCTTTTGTATACCTGGACATGGTAGAAATTTTTCTCTTCAATCCTACAGCATACGCCAGCTTGATCTTCATGGAATCCTGTGCATATCAACCTATTTATTAGGAGGCATCTTTTCCACTGAGCTTTTCCCCTTTGGTGGGTTTAAAGGGCTGTGTCATAGTGGTTGTAAGCTGCAGGGCCAATAAGCTATTTTCAGGGGGTGAAAAGGTACTGCTCAATCTTTGCTATAACAACTGGATAAGGATTTCCTCTGTAATCTGGTATTTCTTAGGGCTATGGGCAATTACATTTTTGTACTTGCTTTTTATCAGCACTTGTGTGAGCAACTTACAAAACAGTCTTCGTCTCAGGAAAGGCTTGTATGTGACATGACCTTTGACAGGTGATCCACATCTGTGTTTTAACTAGCACCAGACACATCATGGAACCAGTCTTGCAATTCCAGGCCCCGCTCTCAGATATCTTGAATTTACTGATTATGCTAAAATAATCATTCCACCAAGACTATTGAAGTGTGCGCCCTATTTCTCAGCCAACTTACTAGTAGGTTTTTGGGAGGAGGGGAGGAGCAGTGAACATTTTCTGAGATTTGGCCTACTTTTCTTTCCATCTATACACATCATTGCCCTGTCATTAGCTCAGTGATTAAAGCTGATAAAGGAATAAGATCCACCTTGTCTCAAGGAGACAGAGCCAAGACTGAAGGCGGCTTCCTCCCAAAGGGCAAAAAAACAAATGCTTGACCCTAGCTTCATGTAGAGAGTAATTAATCCTTTCATATTGATTCTGTCGTTCCAATAATGGAAGCCATGACATATTGAAACCCGTGCTTACATAATGAAGTAAGACAAATTTAAAGGGGACCTTATGATTTTTCCAACTCCAGCTTAAAAGTATTTAGGAACATGTAAGCTTCTTAGTCATGCAGGGTCTCAATGCCACTGTAAGAGTGCATGCTCCAGACAGCTCTTGAAGCCTACAGGTTTTTAAGAAAAATGCCAAATCCTGCCAAGTCATAACCAAAACCCCCATTGTGCCCAACAATGGATAAAGCTCATACATTATTGTAAATGTGAATATGATCATACTAAATAACTTACGCTTCTACTAAAATCAGCCATTTTTTCTGGTTCTCTAGATTAAAGAAAGAATTCATTATGCTGAGCACAGATGGGCCAGGCAGAAATGTGCTTAAGTTCAAGCCACCACTGTGTTTCAATACAAAGGATGCAGAGTTAGTTGTTGATAAACTTGATATGATATTAACAGGTAAGTAAAGGAAAGATCTTTAAAATTGGTTTATATAACACATTTTTGAAGCTAGATTACCTATCTGGCATGCTATAGATTGAGCTAAGCCTACTTAAGAAATAAAAAAGAAGCAGTTAAGGAACTAAAATTACTCGATCTATTTTGTTCTATGTGTAGTGTTTACATATGCAAAATTACATGGAAGCTCTCTATACTGAATGACTTTCCTATTAAATTCCTTATGAGAATGCACCAATTAGCACCACTTAAATTTTTTCTCTGAAAATAGATATCATTGTAATGAAAAAACAAGCTTGGGTCTAAATAGAAAAGAAGTGTTTAACTTTATGATAGTCTTTAATAAATCCTATTTCTCATTTTAGCTTTTTGGGGGAGGGAGAATATGAGAATAAATAGAGTTTGAATCAGAAGACCACTAGGAATATTTTTGTGCCACAGGAATGACAAATTTGCATTCTCGATTATATGTAAATAGTAATACTAGCCCATGAATAACAGGCAGACAACAATCATGTTCTAATTGAATATTCTGCAGAATTGGAGATACGAAAAACCTAGATAATGATTTCCAAAGCTACAAGAGGTAAGCATTCATGTACTATTATTATATACAAAAAGTATGTTCTTTATGCAGAAGCCATTAATTTCATTATCCTGAATATCAAATCATATTCCAACAATATACAGTCTACAAAAGCATGTCAAACATAAATTATGAAAATTTTAACTTGCTGGCTTTCCTGTGTGAATACTGATTTCTTTCATCCATCTTTTACAGGATACAGGCATGGTGCAGAATTCTACCATTTTTCTACACTTAAAACTACAATAATAAAATTCTGCCTTCTTCAAGCTTTCATAATCCAGTCTATATAGTTTTACTGAATTGCTGACATTTTTAGCAATACAGCTTGTGATTTTTCAGCTCTATTGCTATTATCTCTACTAATGCAACTCTTAATATAGTAGAGAAGAATTAACATGATTTATCCAGAAAATATAGCTTGTCATCCTTGTGCTATACAGGTTGCAGTACAATATATATTTTTATTTCTACCTATATTTCACAATTAGCACCTTTGATCTAATAAGTCCGTTTTCTTTGTAACATTTTATTAACAAATTGGTAGGCACACATTATTTAATAAAACATCCAAACATTAGACTCATGAGAATTGTTTTTTTAAGATTTGTAACATCTTATAGAAATGTTTTATTTACGAAAGAAAGTATTGTCACCAACGCTGACAACCTATTTTTATTTGGAAAGCATAGCTCTCCCATTACAATAATTCAGAAATAAAGAAGAATGCTCATTTTAAAAAGCTGACAGAACAAAAAGTATTTATACCAAAAATGTTGTAACTGATGAAAAGCAACCCATTTTCTAAAGACAATGTCTAACAACTATCTTCAAACATGTTACCTGTTTTTCTGTACTACTGAGATGGCATTCCATCACTAAAGATGGTTCTATGTCTGAAAGTCATAACAGTATCAGATTGGTACCTCTTATTTCTCTATAAGCAATTTCTTTCCTCTCTTAGCTACAGCTAATTTTCTGTATTTCACTAGAAAATGCATTTTCTAGTGTAAAATCCTGTTTATATTTGCTATGACAGGCTCTGATGTTTCAATCCCTAAGATCTGTGACTTGAAGCAAATAAAAACATATTTTTTAAAAAAATGGTAAAATGTGCTTAACAGAACTTCAATAGGCTCTTATGCTGCACATTAATAACAAGTAGGCTTACTTATCAAAACATTCAAAATATAGTACTAGTATTCAACTATCTACACCTGGAGCAGTCATAAAACTTCCATTCTTTGGGACACAAAAAACATAGGATGAAAACAATATTAAAATACTCAAAAGCAAGTAAGGTTGGAAAGCCCACTGTCACATCTATTACAGAGAACAAAAATGTGATCTTTTAAGTTCATAGCCAGGGAGAAGACAGATAATTGTAATTCTAGTGTAATGTGAAAATGTCTTTCAGGAACTCCTGCTAGATATCCAATTGATTATAATAGATGAGTGATGGTCAGAAAAATTGCATAATAGTCATTTTATGTCTAAACGAATTAGCAATTCCTGATCAGAGGTGACTCTGATATAGGATTACCTACTTCTACCACTCTAGCTCGTAACTTCTAGAATGCAATAGTTAATAGTTTCACTTTCAGAAGAACTATATTTAATTTGCCTTCAGTTAGTAGGATTTGACACTCTAGCAAATAAGTCTTGAAAATGTTCTCGTATCATTGTGGACAACATCTTTGTAAGTAGTTAGGTATATTTTCAGTAGCCTTTTAATTTCTCACAGGACACAGTTCAGCATGACTGAACTACCGAACTGTCAAAAGCAAAACTTATTTTCAAGCCTTATTTGTTACTGTTCAAATGCCCTGACAAGCAAACCATGCAGATTACCATATAAAAATGGTCAAAAATTAAATAACTAGAGCCAGTCCATAGCTGTTGTTAAATGAGCTTAAACAATGAGTTCTAATTTGGGGTTAATATTGATTACTATACAATTAAAATGTTCATAACGGATTATTTATCCTATGGGTAAGTGACTGTGTTGTCTGACACTCCAGAGACAACTTCCTCTTCCAAACCTAGTTTTAACCATGGCTGTTACACATGTAATTAAAACTTCTATTAAAACAGAGCTGTCATTATAATATCTTTGATTTAAGCAAGAAATTATTATTCTAAATAAAAATGCATGATTTTCTTCTGAGCTTATATCTAGCTAAAAAGCTATTTTTGGAAACTTTAAATGTAGAATTTAATGTACTTATAGTGCATTAAAGATCTTTACCCATATTTGACTGTAGGACTGCTATCACCTATTATCTACTGAAAATAGTAACATAGCTCAGAATAAGCTTGGAAGAAGCTATAGAATAGTTGAAAAAAACTTGGAAACAGTACTGAAAATCCAATGTTTACGCAGCTTTAATATTTGCTTAATAATTTTAGCATGAAATGTTTAATTTCTAAATACTAATAAAACACATAAGAGTACAAAAGCCAGTCAGATTGACAGATTTAAGTATGATCAATTAACCTAGGGAAGGTTCAAATATAATGAGTGTACTACATAAGCATCCAGGAGTTTTGTACATATGTTATTGAGCATGTTTTCAGATTTTGAAAGCAGTTAAATTGAACTTGCATATACAAAAAAGCAGACTATAGTGTAAGCATGTCTAATATTGTCTTGTGTGTGTAAATACAGCCTTGAGCCTTTCAGTATTTTAGGTATTTAATTCTACAAATTTATTCCTAAATTCCTATGACCTTTATTCCTACGCAAGGCAATAATACACTATTCTTAATCCTAAAATTTGCCTGAAATATAATACTTGTTCTGCTTCCTGGTTTTTCCTACCTCAATACTTTTAAATTTGTGATCAAACAATTAAGCTTTGCTGGTCTTTCATCAATTTTAGGGTTAAAACATGCTCTAAATCCAACTTCTAAAATTTACGCATCCAACCAGCCACCAGCATTTCTAATGAAATTCTAAGGCTTCTTTTCTCTTGAGCTACAAAAGGATAGCTGGAATAATGGCACAGGATACTGTATTATGCTTTTTTATTCAAAAGCTAGAATAGCATCAATATCCATGTCATGGTGAATCAGAACACATGTAAAATACCTTACAATACATTAGATTCCAAAAAGGTACCAAAAAGTACAGTAAAATTAACACTTCCATTACAGGAAATGTATGACACAAAACCAATACAAAATAAAAAGGTGGAAAGTGATACTGGTTCCCTAAGATGCATCTCATTCTGTACAACTGGAATAATGTGGTTAACTCCAACGGGCAGTCCCTAGATGCAGAAGCTGCAGCTTTAAGCAGACCCCTCAAAATCATTTCAATTTAACCTATCAATAAAATCATTAATCTTCAGCAAGGCTGAAATTTACACACCACACTCTCTAGACAACTATTATCTGTAAATATTAAACAAAGACATTTCCAGGGAAGTCTTCAGATACACATAACAGGCCATAGAAATGTATTGTAAAGTTAATTTTGGTACATAATTGTAATGTCCATCTACAGCATTAAGTACAAAACATATGCAGTAGTTTTGTGCATTAGAGCATGCCACTGCATACCTGAATACTTTTGATCAATATGGCTTGTAGTTATTCTGATGACCACGTCTTGGAGCCTTCCCATAATTTGAACTGCCTTGACCTATAAGTAAGCAATCAAATGCATTAAATTAGTATTTAGTCATGCTTGCAGGTATCTGTAGCCAGATCCCATCCAAAATACACATATACTGAATAGTTGTAATCTTGACAGCTACATCCTATATTCAAAACTTCTTTCTTCTATAGAAGGAAAATCACCTGGAAAAACCTGTATTTTAAAATCTGTCCATTCTAGAGTACTGAATGCAATACGTACCTCTTCTTCCACCTCTTCCTCGGCCGCCCCCAGAACCAAACTGTTGCTGCTGATATACTTCTTTTGGCTGTGCTACCTTAATTTCACACTGAAAAGATTGTAATGTAAAATAGATGTTCTTAACATACAATATTACATATACATACCACAAGTTACAAATGTTATAAATATCTGGATTACAAACATATTTTCCAAATAATTAAATCTGAGGGCAAATATTCTAGAGAACACTTCTGCTGCACAAAAGTTAACACTGTACTAGAATTTATATGATATAATCTATAAACTCAGTACCTCTTTCAAAACTGAACTTTAATCTCTCAAACTGCATAAACCCAGTTTACATGATTAAATTTCCATATGCTGTCTGAAACCAGGAAACAGGTTAAGCAAAGTATGGTTAACTATGGCTAAATATATCACATGAATATAGTCAAAAGTGCATGTGGTCCTTGACTTAACAATCATTCATTCAGCAACCTTTTGAAATTACAATGGCACTGAAAAAAGTAATTTAAGAATAGTCCGCAACTTATTACAATCACAGTATTCTCAAAGTCACATGATCAAAACTCAGGAACTTGGCAACACACATGTATTTATGAAAGCTGAAGCATCTTAGGGTCATGTGAAGCATAGTCAATGGAAGGAAGATGTATTCACTTAACATCTGATTCACTTAACAATCATGATAAAAAAGGTCATAAAATCTGGCACAACTCACTTAAGAAGCACAAGAATTTCTAGTCCCAATTGTGATCTTAGTCAAGGCTTACCTCTGTACACATATTTTTCATCTGATAGTGCTATGAATGCCAAGCACATGAGTTTTAAACTATTAGACAGTGACTATAACCCAAAACAGGGCAACATGAACCTCCCAAATATTGTTGAATTACGTCCATCATCCCTCATCATTTTCATGATTACTGGAATTATTGGCAGTTGAAGTTTGGCAGCATCCAAAGTTCTAGCACTCGAGCTCCCCCACTATAAGCCCTGCTCTTACAATATGCTTCCACATTCTACCACTATTTGTATTTTGCTTTATATCCTTCTGCTTCAAGCAGCCCATATTCTAATCAAGCAACTTCCTACTTTTGGCCAAGTTTCCTAGTGTTATATTAATGTTTGCATGTCTTCTTATTCAAGTGATTTTCAAAAAAGTTTATTTCCTTACTATTGCAGGATCCAAGCAAATTAATAAAAATTAACAGAAAATGCTTATTTTAAGTCCATTGTTTAAGAAACCTTTATCCTTCCAGCTATCCTCCTAGTTCAGGGCAACAACTATAGAGAAAGTAACAAAAGAAAGGTACTTCCTGTTTTGAAAGTGGTTGCATTTTAAAGAGTGACTTTGAGGGCAACAGGCATTATTTCCAATGATATCACATTGGTAAGATCAATATTTTTGCCTTAGTTTGCCATTTTGGTTAATGAACAGAAAGGAAACAAAACTAAAAATCTAGCACCATGTCACAGGTTCCAGAAGCTGTAAGGGGGATGATAAAGGCCTGTTATATTGTTGATTACTTAGCTGACCCAGGCTGCGACATTCAAATAACAGTAGTATACCAGCATTATATAAATACAACTTTTGTGTCTACGCATTCCACCCTTCCTGCCTACATTATTCCCACACCCCATCAACAAATGTGGTCCACATAAGACTTGTATATCAGCCATTAATATTCCTTTTTGAGAGAATAATAATCTATAGCTGTAATGGCAAACCTGTGGCACGCAGAGCCCTCTCTGGGCATGTGCACAGTCGCCAGCTGCTCTTCCAGTTTCTGGTGTGCAACTGGTCTTTGCATACGCCGGAGCCCGGAAACCCGACAACTGGCTGGCCGGCGTGCACTGGTCTTCAGTTTCCGGCACGTGTGAAGACCAGGTGGCCATGCACGCCAGAAACAGGAAGAGCAGCTGGCCACCTGGTCTTCAGGTTTCCGGCACTCTGGTGTGCGATTCCGCTTTTGGCACTCAGTGCCGAAAAGGTTCGCCATCACTGATCTATAGCTTCTAGGTCTGAGATGCCACTGAATGTTTTCATGAAATTGTAAATTAACTAATATACTACTTTCATACAAATTAGCCGTTTTTCACTAACTTGCTAAAGTATATTAAATCATATTTAATGGTAGGCATTACGTATTTCTCAAATTATATTTATCTATTAACTAAAACTTGTTTGGCATAATATAATGAAAAATATTATGAATCACTTTTCAAAGTGAAATAGGCAGCATATAAATTTAATATTATCTAGAAACAGTTAGCCCTCACTTCTGGGGGAAAAAGACACGTACACTGTAATACCATCTACAAGTGCTGATGCTACTTCAAATCATTGATTATGCAAAGAGAATCTGGACAGTTTCTAATTCTGTAGTGCAAAAACATAGATCTCGTGGCTAAAAAATTATGCAATAAATATACTGTGCTTTTAGTCTGTTTCCTATACAGTTTCCACTTTCAAAATAAACAGTGTAATTCTCTCTCTTTTCACTTTCCAACAATGTGCAAGATATATAGGGTGAATAGAATCTACTATAAATAAGCGGAATTCCTACCTTACTACCACTGACATTGTGGAACTTTTTCTCTAATATTTTCTTCACTGGTTCTTCTTCCTTAAATGTGATGAATACAAACCCTCTTCTTTTATTGGTCTTTGGATCCATTGGAAGTTCAATTGCTTCAATCTAAAGAAACATATTTCAAGTTTATTGCAATTATGTACATTACCTTATTCAGTAATTATGGTCAATCTCTTGTTTCTTCCGGGTACAACAGTCTTATGTTAAAAACTGCAACTTGTTAAGCACTAGGAACTTAGTAGATAAAGCTACATTGATAAAATAATGTAACAAATGCAAACTATTATTGCTCTGCAAGTGTGATCTGATTTGTATAATAATTTGCAAATTTCATCTATGGATGACCATTTGCTGCTCTAAACAATTAAAGCCTATTAGAATGTACTATATACTATGCTCGAAAAGCCACAAGGAAATACAAGGACAGAAAGCAATATAAAAATAGATTTATGATACACAGGGGTACATGATTTGCCAACCATTTAAAGAAATGCCATGATATAATAATTAAATCAAAATACAAGCATATACATATGTATATTGCACACCTAGTATACTACTGCACTTGGTATAATAAATCAATCTCTGGGTAATATATCCCATATTTCTACTTATAATTACTGTGGATTAAAACAATTTGCTTTACTATTTCAGGATAAAGCTATCCTGTCTACCTAAACTTGCATCAGATTATATACCTCTCCAAACTCTCCAAAATATTCCCTGATTTTGTCTTCTGTTGCCTCTGGGTTAAGTCCACCAACAAATATTTTCTTCACAGGATCCTTTTTCATTGCCATTGCTTTCTTAGGGTCAATCACTCTTCCATCTAATTTGTGTTCTTTTTGCTCCAAAACCTACAAAGCAGTTCAACAAATCAGGATGACAGAACATTTATAACATTAGCAGTAGTCTTAGTAATATATCTCAGTCTATCACTCACCTTATCAACACTTCCTGCTTCTTTGAAGAGAATGAATCCAAAACCTCTTGATCTGCCTGTATTAGGATCCATCTTTATTGTGCAATCAGTTACTTCACCAAATTTAGTAAAGTAGTCTTTTAAATCTTTTTTGCTTGTATCCCAACTGAGACCACCAACAAACATTTTCCTGCAACAAGGTAAGCAAGACACACTGAAAAATTATGACCACTGTTACCATAGCAATACAAGCAGTCCTCAATTTACCACCACTGGTTTAGTGACAGTTCAAAGTTACTGAAGAAAGTAACTTATTACTATTTTTCACACTTAAGACCATTGTAGTATCCCCATGGCCACGTGATCAAAATTCAAGCATTTGGCAAATGGGGTGAATTTATGATAGTTGCAGTGCTCTCATGGTCTTCTCATCACCATTTGTAACCTTCTTAGCTAGCTTCTAATAAGCAAAATCAAAGAAAAAAGCTGGATTCACTTAATGACATGATTCACTTAACAGTGAAGTGAATTCATTTAACTGTGATTCATTTAACTGTAGCAAAATAGGTTGCAAAATGGGGCAAAACTCAATTGCCTTATTTACTAATGGAAATTTGGGGCTCAATTGTAGCCATAAATTGAAGACTACCTGCATTTCACATCTCAGTATAATTGAACTTCTGTAATTTGTGATGTATAGCCTTTCATAAAACAAGTTTACATAGTTATATCTGTGGTTCAATTGCCTTCAATTTCAGACCCTGAGATACTTAGAATAAAAACTAAGCAAACCAAAGTAGTTTACTAACAGAAGTCATAAAAACTAATGATTCTAACTCAAGTTTTGAGCATTCTGCCTTCATCAAAACTCAAACTTTTTGTTTAAACAATTACCAGTTTGATTTTTTATTATAATAGGCTGGCTCTATTACAAATTTTAGATATATTAAAGCTTCCTGGCATTTCAATTGGGCTGCATGTAATTATGTAAAAGGATGTTTTTTGTGGGTATCCACTTCAAGTCCAGGCTTTCTCTAAGAAAATTTAATGGAACAAGAAAAACATACAAAAGAGGAGATAAAATATAGTAAACAACTCAGCATGACTTCTACAAGGATTATGCTGGAGTTAATCACCTAAAGAAACTAAACTGCATACATGGTAATCGATCTGCAATTGCTGAAGGATGTACAGTTAAATTACACTGCCAGCAAATAATTTCAGAAACATATGTTCCTGTTCAAAGTTCTTAAACAGCTATTTCTGACTCCCATCGAACTAGCAACTTAATATATTTTAGGGAGAAAGGTTCATTTACCCTTTTCAACTTTTAGTAGAGAGGCAAGGACAGCAAGCTGCCTTCAAATGGCACACAAAGAAAAAGGGGGGGTAGGCCTAGACTACTGCCATTTCAGGAAACCAGGAGCCTCAACCGCCCCTCCTTCCCCCACCACCACATGGCGCCAACAAAAGGCAGCTTCAAGAACAAAGGAGGACCGACTGCTGCAGCCCCGTTTCGGCTCATTGTCTATTTCATCGGCAAACACAAGGCCAGAAAAGGAAGGATCCGCGCGCCAATCACCCTCGGGCAAAAAAAAAAAAAAAAAGGCAAGAAAAAGCGTTAAGGACGGAACTGGAACCGAGCCAACGCAGCGGGTTCGGGCCTGTCACTCCTCCGAGCAGGTTGTCGCCGTGCATGGCGCCGGAAACCACAGAAAGTGGGCGGGGGCAAGCAAACGAGGCCCGCCAGCCTTACCCCGCATCCTCCTCGTTCTTGCTTGCATTGATCTGATCGCCTTCGGCTCCGTTCTGGCTTCCGCTAGCTTCTGCAGAAGCTACCGATTGCCCTGCCTCCTCGCTTTCTCCCTCGCCGTCCCCCTCCTCTCCGGCCTCGGATACCACCACCGCCGCCTCCACCACCTCTTCCTCTTCCTCCTCCTCTTCAAGCTGCTGCTCCGGCTGCAACAGCTCCTCGTCGCCGCCACTCACGGATCCCTCGGCCGCCGCCGCCGCCGCCGCTTCGTGCCCGTTTTGGGTGGCGCCAAACTGGTGCTCCACCTCGGCCATGATCTCTAGCCCAGAGTGCGCCGCTGCCTCGAACCTGCGTAAAAGCGACAACAACGGAAGTTCTCTCCCCCTCAGCGAGGCCTACGAAGGGGGGGTGGAAAAAAAAAAGAGAGATGGCGCCTCCAGACGCACGGAAGGAAGGAAGGAAGGAGCGCGCGTCCCACTCGGCCTCGCCACGCGAAGCCGCTAAACCAAGCGCCGCCCCCCCCCACCACCACCACCGGTTCCCGAGACTCACTTTTATACGCCGCTCGGCTCGCCTTTCCCAGAAGGAACCGGAATCCGGTCCTTAAAGCTTCGTCGCGAGCCTGCCGGTCTCTGCCGATGTCGTCAGCGGCGACAGTGGCTCCTCCCCTCCCGTGCAGTTCCTGACAGACAAACGGACACGACGGCGCACAGCTATCCGGGGGGCGAAAGCACGCTCCCGCCTGGCCTCCTTTTATAGGCTTCTCGGGTCGCGCGGCCACTCCGCAACAAACCTCCCGCTTACTGGCCAAGCACGTCGATCGCTCATGTAGAAGATCGGCTCCCGTTGGCTGTGAACACCCTTGCGTATTCTCGGCCACGCCTCCTCTCTAACTGCTGGTTGTGCGGCCTGCGGCTTCCTACGAGAGCGCGGAAATAGAATTGCAAAGGCCTCGCCGTCACTAACAGTCGCATAGTTCACAAGTTGTCCCCGAGTTCGCTTTTCTGAGGGGCGAAAGCTCTTCTGGGATGCAAGCATTCGTATTCCAGCTTCCGAGCATCTGGAAGTCGGCGGTAGCATTAAAGAGAATGGAACCGCGTTTCTCCCCTTGTGCGCCCCCCCACCCCATAAGCGCCGGTTGATTGATCTGATCGTCACGTAGGAGGGCGTGAGAATGATGTCTCAGGCAGCCCCGCTTCTCACCTTAATTTATCCAGCTAATCTTGCACACCTGCGCGGGTTGCCTCTCAACTGTCCGAGAGGAAACGCTGGCCGAGAAGTGGAGGTGCTTCAGGGAGCGCCAGGGACAAGATCCCACGTGGCTGCGAGGGGTTAATTAGGCCAGCCGAGGCACAGCCCCGGATTTCGGCCACTTTTGGTTCCTGAGGCGGTGGGGGGGTGGAGGGGCTACCTCTTGGCGGCCGCCCGGCCCTTGGCCTTTCTGAGAGGAAGGAGAAACAGATGACAGACCAGTTGGGGTGTTACAAAAGAGCAGTTGTCCTTTATAGTGCCGCTGATAGGATTGCACCTAGTTGCTTCGTGTCATAATGTCCGTGGAAGAATGGAGAATTTTTCCTTCCAATTAGACAATTGGTCTAATTGTCAAAAGGGACACAAGCACCTCCATTCCTTTGCTCACTGAGACAGTCGTGTTGACCTCGCCTCTTAACACCTCGATCCAAAAAAGGAGCAAGCCTAAGACACAAGGCCACCACTGTGGAGAAAAAGAAATCCTCCCCCATCCCAAAGTACATTTTTCCAAATTAAATGCTCAAACTCACATAATCGGCTCTTTCACATTAGACAAGGTTTTCTTTATAGTACATTTTTTTAAAAATTCTTTGGGTGAGGGGTTTTGATTTTACAAGCACCTTGTGAAATGATGCTTTGAGAAGGCTGCCACCTTAAAATTAAGAATTTGTTCAATAATCTTTATAAAAAGTATAGCCAGTACATGATTCTACACAAGTAAACCCACCTAATTGCATCCAATTTATTAATTGCTGAAATATAAACTAAGTGAATGACCATCATTCTAGGATTCCACATCGAAATCAAAATAATATGACTGATAAGAGTTTTGATCCTTAGCATTTCCAGTACTTCATCAGTCATTAAAAGATGCATGTATAGATAATTTAATAACATTTTTGTTCTACTCATGTTTTATCTTTTCCCACTTCAATTATTTATTTCTTCATTAAAATATAAAACAACTATGAAAGGCTTCTGTATCAAGTTGATTGATGATAAATCACTTCTATGGGAGCTGCATTGGTTGCCAATCTGCTTCTGGGTGCAATTCAAGATGCTGTTTGTCATCTTTCAAGCCCTTCATGGCTTGAGACCAGGTTATCTGAAGGAATATCTCTTGCTGGTCACATTCACGCAACCCACTAAAGGAAGGAAAGAAATGTTGCAGGTCCCGTCCCTAAGATGGTACATCTGGTGGGATCCAGAAGAATGGCCTTCTCCATTGCATCTCCCTCCTTTTGGAACTTCATCTCTGTAGAAAATGGACTGGCCCCTACTTTGACAGTCTTTGGTAAGGCCCTGAAGATTTGGTTTTGCCAGAGAACCCAGAGTGCAATGGAGCCCATCAAATGACTTGTTTAATCCTGTGCTGCTGGGGGGGGGGGGGATGTATTGTTTTTTGTTTTTATACTGGATTTTTATTGTTTGTAAGCCGCCTAGACACTATGAGTGAGTATGACTATACAAATTTTCTAAATAAGTACATAAATTGCAAATAAGATCTTTAATTTTTAAACACATTTAATACAGTTACTATAACTTCATGTGTAATATTCTGAGTGTGTCAGTAAATTACATATACCTATTTATTTCATTTATGTTATGGCTTCATTCAGGAACTGAAGATAATGTACATAACACTCCCTCCTTTTTCCTCCCCACAACAACCCTGCAATGATGGTCAGGCTGAAATAAAGTAACTGGTTCAAAGTTGCTTGGTAAGATTCCCCAAAACAGGTAGGATTACAATCTGGATCTCCCTGCTACAATTGATGTGACACAGGCAACACTATATTGACTTACATTGAGATTCCAGTTTGTAATGAATAGTGTGGACATCCCTGGAAGAAACTGAAGTATAATGGCATATTCATCTAAATAGCTTCATTATTAGCAGGGAATCCTGTATGTGAAATGGATCTGACTAAGGCTGGTCCACACTTCTATCCTGAAAAGTTTTAAGGAATGGAATGGAGTTGAGATATATATACTGTAAGTTATGTGACTATGAAGATAGCCTATGAAGATAGCCTATGAAGATTATCTGGCTATGAAGATAGGAGTTTTAGGGAAGTTTGTGGAACAATGAATGAATCAATGAATGAATCTGCTAAGTGACATGAATAGGGAGGTGAACTGAGACAAGAGGGTTTAGAAAAAGTGAATGGAACATTCAGAGAGCCAAAAATAAATGCGAATGATGCCTGATATTTGCTTAGAAAATATGTTTATTTTGAATATAACATTTAAGATTAAATACATGCATGTACACATGACAAAGGACTCAGTATGAGTATGCAATAGTTAATAATGAACAAGTGAGATAATTAGTGACGGATAAATAGAAATAATGAAAAGGTCTGTGGTAAATGGAAGCAAATAACTTATATGAGCAAATTAAAAGATTTTATAAGAACTGAAAGAAGTTGAATTAGCAGTTTCCAATTTCAAATTGTATTATCAAGCCATCTGTTAAGATTCTTTGAAATGGTTAGAATCACTTTATTGGTTTCAATCTCTCTTAATAAATTGCAGAGTTTTAAATTACAAACAAGGGAAAATACTGAGGGAGTTAATCTTAAAAAACTATCTGAACAAATAAAAAATGTATGATTAAATGGTTGTAGAAATTAAACCAGACAACAATGGGAATAATAATGTAGACAAATATTAAATTTATTATTAACATTGCACTTAGAAAGAATTGGTATTTTGTTTTATCAATGATATATTACTCCAATACTGAGTGTCAAAATAGGTAACTCATTTTCTAAAAATAGTTGGAAATGCAATAATCAAGTTGGATCATTCTTTCATATTTAGTTGCAATCCTGTAAAGCTCAAGAATTTTGGAAGAGGATTATAGTTTTTTAAAAAATTAATGGTTGAATGCTCTTTCTTGCCATCCAATTTTCTCTTAATCGTCACTAAACTTTATGTCTCTACAAAGTATATCAAGTTGGCTTTATATATGAAACAGCCACTAGGATACTATGCCTTTGTGCCTCTAGCACAAGAACCATATTTTAGACAAGAAATAATAGGCAAATACAAATGACTAATGTATTGTAAGATACTAGAATTTTGTCAAGAAAAACTTAAGAGAAGAGCTGGTAGCAGAGGGATATATTTGTCAATGGTTTTCTTATTCACAGTTATTAGAAAGATTAAAGTAGACAAAAATTATGGTTTTGAACTTTATAAAATTAAATTTTATAAAGAGCCTTGGTAGTACAGGGGTTTAAGGCACCCTGTTATTAAGCTGATTATTAAGACCAGCTGCCTGCAATTACTGCAGGGTTCGAATCTCGCCAAGGCTCAAGGTTGACTCAGCCTTCCATCCTTTCTAAGGTAGGTGAAATGAGGACCCAGTTTGTGGGGGCAATAAGCTGACTTTGTATAAATATACAAAAGGATGAAGGCTATTGCTGAGCACATTGTAAGCTGCCCTGAGTCTTCGGAGAAGGGCGGCATATAAATCAAATTAAAAAAAAAAAAAATTTGAAGCAGAATTGTATACAAATGATGAACATGTATTTGCTAAAATGTATAAACTTTTATTGAAATTTGAAACAGAAGAATCACAAGAAATGTATGATAAAGTGAGCTAAATTTTTGGTTATAATATACAAGTGGAACAGTGGGAAAATATGTGATTGAAAGTATTGAAATTTATACAATGTTATATTTTAAACAGAATTTTTGTATGTCACCAGAGAAATTATCTAGAACATGAACAACAAGAAGAGACATTTTATCATTTGACGAGTATGTACATAGCTAAAAAATTGGTTCAGAGACTGTTAAAAATTACAATTGAGACCAAAGATTTTTCTTTTGGGACTGATGGACAAACAGTTGGGGAAAAAGGTTTCTTTGTGTTACTGCATGATAGCTGCAATGAGATTATGGTATGCACAAAGATGAAAAGATTCAGCACTACCTACAAAGGAGAAATGGTTGATGAAGATGATACTTGCCAAGGTGGCTAATTGATTTTATCAAGAAAAGACAATATCTACATGAGATGGCTAATTGAATTCTTTTATCAGAGAAAAGGCAATAGAGTAAGTGGTAAATCCCTAATTGTAAGGAACTGCTGTAAAGAAGATTAGTGGTTATTTCTCTAACATTTTTCTATTTTTATTTTACTTGTTTTTCTTTTCTTGCACATTTAACTTTCTCCTTGATTTCTTTGTTTATGTGCATGTGTATATATACATAGACAGTCTGTGTGTGTGTGTATGTATGCTTGAAAAGAAAAGTTTTTGAACAGTCTGCTACCTGCTCTAACATATGCCAGTGAAACGTGGACACTAACCTCACAATCGATACAAAAGCTGCGAGTGGCGCAAAGAGCCATGAAGAAATACACGCTCAGCATTACAAGACAATATACAAAGACCTGCACATGGACTAGAGAACAAATGAAAGTGTACAATATCATCAAGAGAGTAAAAGAATTGAAATGGAAATGGGCTGGTCACATAGCAAAAAGAACTGATGGCAGGAGCGCCAAGGCACTCAGAATGGATCACACTTGATAAAAAGGATCCACAAAAGAGACCTAAAATAAGATGGATCAACGACATTAACAAGTATTGCAGGCCCAATTGGCAAAAGAAAGCTCAAGACCATATTGTTTGGAAACATGCAGAAGAGGCCATCCTGCACTGGACAGACAATAGCTAAAAATATATACAGGTAGTCCTTGGCTTACAACAGTTTGTTTAGCGACCAAAGTCACAGCGGCACTGAAAAATGACTTATTGCCATTTTTCACACTTATGAAAAAAGCATCCCCATGGTCACATGATTTACATTCGGTTGCTTGACAGTTGATTCACATTTATGATGGTTGTAGTCTCCCAGGGTCATGTGGCCCCTTTTTGCAACCTTCTGACAACTAAAGTCAATGAGGAAGCCCAATTCACTTAACAACCATGTTACTAATTTAACAACTGCAGTGATTCACTTAACAAATGTGGCAAGAAGAGTCATAAAATGGGGCAAAA